AATATATTTACAGCGAGCGCAAAAGCATAACAGGCCTACTTATACGGAGTTTGCATGCTAATAGGCTTATTATACTTTTGCGCTCGCTGTAAATATATTAGGTTTTTGCGCTCGCAAATTTGCTGTTCGCCTTTTGACAAAAAAATTTCTGTGTTTGTGTTCTGCGCACAGGTTTTGTAGGAAAGGTTTTTCTTCTCAGGCCGTCAATTCAAATTCGAATACTTAGCGATTGGACTTTGTTTTCACCGAATAAATTCGAAACCTGTCAACTTTGGCAAATGTTGCTTCCCGTTGCTCAGTGAGTAATTCCCGTTCGTCACACGGTGCAGCTGCCAGTTGTCTCAACTCGGGGATAATATCTTTTAATTGTACGACCACGAAGTGGCGAAAACCATTGAACGAAACAATGGTATAAATAAGTCGAGGTGTTTTCTCGTCCCGATGTGCTGCTGTCCGCAAAATGACATACATTTTGAGCATTTACTGGACCCGGAAACCCTGGTTTGATGTCAAGCACCGACGACTGAACGAAAGAAACAAAAGAAATCCCATCTACACGCTGTAATGAGCATTAACAAAATCGCCTAATTGCTTTTTCTACCCTCTTAATTTAATTACAAAACATCAACAGTCTTCTCAAGCACCAGAGTGAGATGCGTTTCCTATTGACACCGTACGAGAAAAAAAAAATGAACATGCCAACAAATTATTAGGCAACAACGGCTTTGGCACACCGAGCGCTCACCTTTTTCACTTCGGAAGCACTGGCTCTGAATGGCAATGTGATGATGAGACGAGACACAACGCCCCGAACACCATCGAATCGCATTAGAAAATTCGTTTCATGTTGAAAAGAAGCTACGGAAAACCACATTCGCACGCATAACGATATAATTTATTTTGTTTTTCCGGTCTGTGTTTTTTTTCCACAGCTCTCACGTCTATTCATTTCGAATCGATGTTTTTGATTCTTTCAGCAGGCAGCTGACATCCTACCGTTTCACGTGATAATTCATTTTTCCGTGCGCACAAAATGTGTTTCCGAAATAATTCTCATGCAGTGCAAAGCAAGTTGAAAATCGAATAAGACTTGCACGCCAACAAATCCACCCGGAAACAAGATGAGAGTGAGGAGAGAAAAAAGTGATACGTGTCGTTGGAAATTAATTGATGGATGCAAAGGCCAATAGAGGGGATGCAACAAAAGCAGCTGAAATTAACTGACAATTTAGTTTGTCCGCTTCATTATTTTCTTCCTATCCTCGATTCAACTCACTTTCTCATTGGAATGATGAACATCAAATGATGAGGTGGTTGATCGTTTTGTATTTACACGTTGTACGATGACGACTCCCTGCACTCAACTGAAAACTCAATGCTCGACACGCAATTACAGCATCACCGTGTTCTATTTCCATGCATTGCGTGCACAAAGTATGTTAATATCGGGATAGAGTGGAATATTGTAACTGGCGACTTGAATTAGGTAGTAGCATCATATTTAAATGTTCGTCGATTTGCACCCGCTATTCCGTTTTCCCCGCACATCACACACACCGTGCCGTAATATGCCGAAAAAGAAGCAAGTCGAATGTGTTTTACGCACAGCACGAAAATCGCACCACAGCAGCAGCAGTAGAAGTGGCCGCAGCAACAGCACCTCGACTCGGTAAACTCGCTGTTACGATCGAATTGTGTTATGGGAACCACATCACATGCTTGCACTGTAATTCGTTGTTCGAAATAAAAATTGCTTTATGAACTGTACGGTGTTTTTGGGGTTTTACATTTTTGTTTTGTTCGGTCGTTCGCTTGTTTTTCTCTCTCGCATTCCTTTTTGCGTGGTAAAAGTGAATACATCTCTCGCCTCACCTATGCCATTCCGAATGTAGCGCGATCAACATCATTTTCGCTGCTATTTTGCCCTATTTTTATTTCAATTTTTGTGTCATTTTTTTCAGTTTTGTTTTATATCGTCCGTTGCCGTACATGCACGCAGTCCCTTTTTCGCTCTTTTCATCTTCCTACACATTCTGCTTTCTGTCCGCGTTTCTCAATGTCTCTTGCTCTCTTTCTGTAGCTTCTTTTTTTCCCATTCACAAATGCATTTGATGATTTAGAATTTTTATGACCGAATTTCCCGAATAAAAGTAACAGTAACACGCACAACAGTGTATAAATTATTATGTTATGTGAGCCTTTGGTAGATTAAACAATCGAAATTATGACTGATGCAATGATTCGCTTTCAACTTTATTGCCAACAAATTGTGTACTCAAGCTACAACGAATATCGCGCGCTCGGGGATTCTTTCAATTCATTTAACATGATGAATCTCTTTTAGATACAGCGTGAAAATAATATCAGATGGTTGTAAACGAACAAAAAGCGGTTGTAAATATCATTTTGTATCGTTTTCCGGGAAGGAAGAAGAAAAAAACGTAGGAAGAAAAAGAGAAAATTCAATTTGAATGCAAATCGATCATTTTTTTTTAAATTGAAAACAAGTTTTCGCTTTCGAATATTTGTTGAAAAGAAGTTTCCATTTTCCTTGGGATAAAGTTTAAATTTGGAAAAATTTCAATGAAAATAACCAAAAATAAAAAGTCATCAAATTAATCGGATAATTTTGCAAATGTAAACAATTTTCCAAGTGGAATCGCTTCAATCCATACAGAAATAATCGCTTGATGGGGCTCTGCGTGTTCATCTCTTGAAAATCAATATTTGCTCGATTAATTTGTTTCGATCACATGAATCGTTTATCATATTTTCCGTTTTCTTCTCCTGAAAACGCTTCGTGCAAAATATTTCGTTTGCTTCGAGATGCGGTGAGAAGATGTAAGGACGCCAGCAGAGCAACAGCAGCAACAAAAGGAAAGAAAAAAGAACGGAAAGGAAGAGAAGGCGCCCCGATGAAAAGGTGTGTCTAAAATCGTAAAAATTTCGAATCATTGACGTTAAACCGCGCCCATATACGGAACCCGACTTACTGGTACCTACGTTGACTGGTTAATATAACCGCAAATGTGACACACTGCTCTCTCACACTTTTCCATACACACACACACACACACACACTCGCTCACTCACAGCACAAAAAGCATGCACACACAGAGATAGAGACGAGATGGAGATGGATAAGGATACGAAAAGTAAGAAAACTGCTCAACTGACTTCGGCATTTAGCACGCGCACGTGCCATTTTGTTTCTTTTCACCAACTCTCTATATCTATCGGCATCGGTGTGTGCTGGAACTGTTTCACAAAGGCGAAATATCGCTAAGGCAATTAAAGTTACTACAGCACACATTTCCTGAAAATGTAATCTGCATCAGATGGTACCATCAAATTAGCAATTCAACTCATTGGCCAAATCGTCTTCTATTTTCTCTCCGTATCTCACTCCGGTGCAGTTAATTTCTGGAGCATGAGAATTAGTAAATAGTGGGGTTTTTGGTGTTGAGTATTAACATGGAATAAGTATTTGTATCCCATTTAAATCGAGGAAAAAGTGTTTCGTTTCTAGAATATTCGCATTGCTATTTCGATTTTCAACTGTGATTTTGTTTCTTCCACCGCAGAACAAGACAGAGCCAATAAAAAAATGTTTCGAGAAGTACAATTGAGTGACGTTGTTGCAAAAACCATTGGACGTATTTGGCAACGATAAATCGTACAGAAATTCAACCGCTGTGAGGAATCGTAAACTCGATCGGCTTACAACGCTTTGGTATGCTCTTGTGTGCCACTGGACAAATGCGAATAAAAATGTAACTTTTTCACTGGCTATTGCTGCTACCACCGCCGCCTCCTCTAATTCAGATGTTCTCTCTGGCGCCCTCGAATGACGTCCAAATTCGCATATCGGCATCCCAGAATTATGTATCATGTTGACATTCACCAAAAAGTTCAGCTGATATTTATTACAAATGAGTGAGAGCGAGCGAGCGAGCGAGAGTGAGCGTAAGCGGATAGTAGGGTGTGCTACTGAGAGTATCCGAACGGCAGCTCAGCATTCGGTGTGATATTTGTAAATAACTCATACCAATTATTACATAGCTTATACAAAATGCCAACCCGCACACAAACATCCACTTAATGCAATTCAATTTGTACATAGCGCAAATGTTACACAGTCAAAAAATCGTCTATTATTCGGCCGGATAACCTGACGACGACGGCGACGGCGACGGAGACGACGAGCTGATATGTGCGGGCGAGAAAGAGCGAGCACATCATCCATACACGAATCATCATCATCATAAGCATCGCTCGCACTCGCATATTGCCAACTACCACTGGCAGTGTCGCTTCTGCTGCTGTTGCTGCAAACATCAACATATCAGCCGAAAAACCACGCCTTCTTTCCCTCGAAAAGACGAGATGTCAGCAACTTGGTGGCTGATGGTTATAAAACGTATACAAATATGCGTATTGATAGACATATGCACACAGGATGCCTCGCACACTCACTCACTCACTCGCTCCCAATGTATCGTTCTCACTCGCTCTCCATGCTGTGTTTGCAGATGTGGCAGTCGCATCACCATTATTACGTTATACACGGGCTCATAAGTATATGGAAACAACGCCGTTCATTGCCACCACCATTTCCAATTTTTGATTATTTGACGCACAGCAAAACGGGTAGAACGAATAACAAAAAGTTATAACATTTTCCATGTAGCAATGTGGATGCTCTTCTGCCACTTGGCATATTCACAATATGTGCTGTTTTTATATGTAGTCATCACCGTGCGCCGCTGTTGCTATTGCCGATGCTCTCGAACTTGCAACACAACCTCTTTTTCCCAATCGGTTACATTTGGGTGTCCGCGTGTGTGTCTCTGCGCCAGTGTTTGTGTGTACGTATTATATACGATTCTATATAATGCTTGAGAACATTACCGTGTCCTGAAGTCAAAGAGTTGGTACTTGGTTGCTGGCGGAAAGCTTGTAAAAGTCTCTGAGTCGTCAATTAGCTGCTAATCGGCAAAGTTAAATGATCGCAGTCGCTCCGTTATTTATTCAAAGTCGAGATCATTGCGATCCAACGTCTAAGCTAATTTTCTCTCATCCTCTGGACAAATAAATTTTAACATTTTATTATTGCAGTGCAGTTACACCAATTTTTTTTTTGTTACAAATTTTCTCTTCGTTTTGTGCAATTTGTTTGAATTTTTCGAATTTTTCGCAGAATATTTTATTCGGAAAAATATCAACTTCAATTTGAAAGTTCAAAGTGGGTGAAAAATATCTAGTGGAATTATAAAAGTGGTACAAGTTTGAAAAAGAGACACTTTTAAGTGAAAAGACTTTGAAATAATTTTGTGCATAAATTGATTTCGTTCACATTTTCACTAACTTGGTTTCAAACAATTTGATTCGAACCATACAAAGTGGCAGCCATAAATTTGCGGCACTTTAGAAGAATGGGTACAGGTAAAAACCATGTTTATAATTTATTCTGCACAATTGAATATAAAATATTCGTGAATTATTTAAAAATGAAGTACTTTATTTCATACATATGATAAAATTTGCAATGAAGAAAAAAGTGATTCTTGCAACAACAAAAAAAGAAGTGAAGAGTTCATACCAGCATTTTGTGGAATACGTATTGTTTCCATTTCTCGAGATGTTGACCGTTAATATTTGCCGTGAGAATTATTTTTTCGCTAGCTTTTGTACTTCAATTTCCGGATGCATGGTCGTTATAGGGTGGTAAATTTCCGGCGTTCAAATTAGAATCCATTTAAACTTGAAATTTTCAAAGTTTTTACGTTGGAAAGAATTAAGATCAGTAACTGAATGAAAACATCTAATCTTTTATTGCTAAGATGAAGTAAAAACGATGCAAAATGCAGTTTTTTAAAAAAAGAAAACGCAAAAAGTCTTTTCGAAAAGAAATTGTGAAAAACGATTTTTATGGCGATTTCTTGGACAATTGAATTTTGAACAATTTCCAAATCTTGAGCAATTGAACTGCTCGAAATCACACAAAATTTCGAAAAAAGAAGAAACTTGGGAAGAAATAGAGAAAATAAAACTGAACTTAGATTTCAATAAACCAACATAATTTCCAAAGGACCACTCCAAAACGTAAAAGTGCGAATGAGAAAAGAAACAAGATGTGATTTAGTTGGAAAAAGGTGGAATTTTGACATTGAATTGACATGTTTGAATTGGTGGAAACACTTGAGCACCGCGTAAAATGCAAGGGCAATACGTGAACAATATGTAACAAATTCTCAAGTGGATTCGTTGCATACAAAACTGATTCTTGCATTGAAATCAAATGGTTCTCAACAAAATGAAAATGTTACGATTTAATCAAGTGCCACTCGCCGCCTGATTTGTCGTCGTTCCGTATTTGTTGTTTGCTGTGAAAAGTGAGTTTCTCATAAATGCTGGTGTGACAAAGGCGCGACAGACTCGATATACAATGAGCGAATTTGTTGATTTCATTGAGTGGCCGAAGAATGTTAAAGGTTTACCACAATAATAAATACGCGATTGTTGAAAATATCGCCGAACATTGAAAAAAAGACTAGGAAAATAATAACCCGTTGTACAATATTCCGTATATGTTTGGATTGGTGGTTGTTGAGAACCCTCTATGATTTGTATTCAACGCTGTTGCGATTGAATGGAAAGGATTTTTTAAGCAGCACTTTAAATAAAATAACAAAAAAAGGACCCGTGTACTTTAAACCAAACGGCAAAATATGATGATAAGTCGTGATGTGCCTAGGCACGCATTCAACACATTGGCTATGCAACACTTAACTGAAACGATGCAAATAATAAACAAACTAAACGCTTGATCTGATTTTCCTACGAAATGAAATGCACGCGTTTTATGTTTTGATAAGTGGGTTTGCGCACAATTTTCTTCCACTAATATCCTCACACCGTTTTAAAATAAATATTTTGATTGAAATGAAAAACATACGCTTTCTCTCGTCATATTTGTCATCTTTTATCAATCACAAAAGATTGACGCTCATTCAACAATCTCTTTCAAATTTGTCACACGCTTGAATAATTCACCTAATTCTCGCAGCCCTTTTTGAATTGCAAGAGAAGTTATTCATATTTTAAGGGACGTTTTAAAGCTGTGAATCTATTTTATCAATATTTTTTTTAAATATTTATATTGTTTTATTTGTATTCAACGAATTTTGTTGGTTTTTTAAAAAGAATATTCAGAAATATTAAAGAATTTCTATCTTTTCCCATCGAAAGGTGATCGTCTTTTGGATATTCCGTGCAAAGTGTGCGGCGATAGAAGCAGCGGAAAACATTATGGAATTTATAGTTGCGATGGGTGTTCGGGATTTTTTAAACGAAGCATTCATCGAAATCGCATTTATACATGCAAAGCAACGGGCGATTTGAAAGGACGTTGTCCGGTTGATAAAACACATCGAAATCAATGCCGTGCATGTCGATTGTCCAAATGCTTTCAATCGGCAATGAACAAAGATGGTAAGTTATGTATGTTAATTTGTTGAATCTTCGTTTGAAAACCATTTTTTCGTCAATGTCAAGTCTACAAAACACAAGAGATTAGCAATTTCATACAACAAAGAATATGATATATGATAAAAGCAAACAGAAATGATGATATTTTCCACAAAATTATAATTTCAACTTTTGATTATTATTTTTGATCGATGGTGAAATTTATTTCTATTTTTACGGCATGAAATCTCGATATCTGCAATGCATTAGAAAATTATCAAACTGCGAATACAAAAAATGAAATGCTATTTAGTTTTAAAGTAGTCAATTGTTGGCATTTACCACACGGTGAACTTTTGATTCACAAGTTGTGAATTAACCCTTTTAATTCAATACCGAATCGTAATTTGCGATGATAAACTCGAGTGTCAGTCAGTTAAAGGATTAAAATTCACTTTCAAAATAACTTTCTTCAAAGCAAAATTTCAAAACTGTATAAAAACAAAGGCAACATTCTGAATTCCATTCAGTCGACCGGGATTCATGTAAACCCAAATCATTAAACGATCAAATAATGCGATTGATGACATTTATAGCAAATTAGCGTATCTTTCGAATTTGTAAGCGGTAAATAAGAGTGAGGCATTGGATCAACGGAACAATCTCTTTAAGAACCGTTTAGTTGAAAATGTGTCAACGATTCAATTGATTGCCTTCTTTCAACAGTTCTTTTTTCTCCCCCTCGATAATGTTCTGGGTTGTCTCTTTTTCTGCCGTCTTTTCCAACTGAATTTGCTTGTTCACTTTTTTTTCTTCCTACACTTGAACATCCGAACGCCTTTTCAATTTTCTACGTTTGTGTATTTTTATGCTTGTGAATTCGAGCGCATGCAGGCGTCAATTGTGCTGACGAACAAAGAAAGGAGATTTAAGAAGCTTTTCTATGGCATTGGTTTTGAAACTGAAAATAGCATTCGGCGAATAAGTTGAAATGAGATTTTCTAGCGATAGATAGAAGAGCGCTTGATGAACATTTTTCGAGTGTGAAACACAGTTGATGACATCAAGAAAACAATCACCCAAATTCTTTGGACCATTTTTCAATCAAAAATAACTTTGTCTGGCTACCTTTTTGCAATTTCAATTTTCCACGCATGAAAACATCAATTCACATAAGACTTTGTCACTCAAAATGGACAGGAGGTGGAATTGATATCTAAAAATATCTGTGTTTACCGGTAAGACGATTCCGTTTCGTGTAAAATAAACAAATGAAATTGTTTTGAATAAATAATGTTTGTGGCACACCAGTTTTTTCAAGTGGTTTTGTGTCCTGACATTGGGAAATCTGACAGTGTGAGCGTTGTTCTCCTGTCTTTGTCACCTTTGCCTCAGTCATCTAGCTGTAAAATTTAAAAGTTGCGGTAAATTTGGGCATTGAAGTTGTTCGTTTGCGAAAAGTTTTGAGCATTCGTTTTGTACATTCTCAGAAAATACCTGACAATGTTGTCGTTTTCAAACGATAGGACTTGAGTCATTAAATTTTCAAATTGAATTTCCACAGAAATTCAAATAGAACACAAATAAATGGAAATAACTCATTCCCTTATAAATGAGAATATATTTTTGAATTCAGAACATAATTATTCAAATCAAGAAGCTTTAAAACGAAGGAATGCTATTAAATACGAAACTCATACCATGCGAAAAAGACATTTTCTGCTAAAAATTCCCAATTTGAATAAATTTGTTGAAATTGGTAAAATTAATGAAAAATTAATTGACATCAAATGTCGTCCACCGTGATTCGCTATGTAATTTGAAAATTCATTACAGCCTTATCAGCACGATAGACTGGTGTAATAGACTGTTAGCATATTACAGCCACGAACTGGATAAATATCCTTCAATAAACATATTTCCAGCAAACCGTCCGCTGACGAAATAATGAGAGCTCATAATTTCATCATGCGGCCAAAGGATTTCAACTTCGAAAGCCACGAAAGAGGTTTGTTTGTCTTCTGACATAAAATTTAAGAATAACACAAACAATCTTAAACGATGCTCATCATGTCATTAAAATAAATGCACGATTGAATTCGGGCATTTCCAACTCGATACATCCAGATGGATGGCAACAAGAAAATATTTTCCTATGTAATTGCCATTGTTTGCATAAACACGGTTTTACCAGCGATTTAGCGCGAAAAACGGAAAAATATAGTCGAATGGGCTGAGTCGTGTTTAAATTTGCATAATCCACAGAACATCAACCATTGTTTTCCCACTAAATTCGTATCCAAAATCATGTTCGGCTGTCTGTGTTATTTTACATCCCTTATGAGATTTTTCGGATCTTCTAGCTTTGTCGCCGAATTAACAAAAGAATGTGACAAAATTAAAGGAATCATTTTATTTTTTTTGTGTGTGTAACTTTGCGATGGAATTTAAAATCAAAAGAAGTGTTGTTTTTGTATCGAATTAATCAAAAGTAAATATCTTTTGATCCCGTTGAATATACGTGTGTTACACACAAAAGGCTTCGTATTTTTGTAAATGCTAATCTTGTCGAAGCGATGCTATTAAACTGAAAATACATCAAATAATCGGGCTGTTTGAAAAGGAAAAACAACTGTTAATTCATCGTTCTCTCCATTGAATGTGCTGTGATCACTATTGACTGGATTCTTTTCGCTTGCATTAACCACACACCGGTGTGTCGATTGTTGCCATTGAAAAAACGACCCACTCATTCACAGTCATACACATCAAATGCGAGGATTAATCTTTCGATGGCACGGGCTATGACATCGAAATGATTATAAAACGATATGTATGTGTGTGTGAGAGTGGTGTGGATCGGGTATTTTGCGATTGATGTGCTGCTTTTGCGACATTATGATACTGTGACAATTTTAATACACACACACATGTACACAGCGATGAGCCACGAAAATGTGCGGCATATATTTTAGTGGTGAAATGGTTAAAGTGATGTGCGATGAAGGCGTGAGATTTTCTACATATGTGCCACACATACTATCGGCTCTCATAAATGTTTAATATTAACGTTTTCGTCGTACAACGTGAAATACATCATTTGCAATTTAGAATGGGACGCAGAGTGAGATGATGGTGATGGCATCGGATCTTTAGCTCGCTACTCCGGTGTGTCACAGTTTGTGTGTGTGTGTGTGTGTGTGTGTGTTCACAGGACAAGTGAACCATATCAAATTGGCATTAAAGCAACACACTATAATCGCATGAGTTATTCATTCATAGCAAGAGAGAGAGAATGTGAACCACCTATGTGTGGCGTCGATAGACACACACGAAAATGAATTTTATGCTCCGTAATGATTGTTGGAATGAGAAATTTGGCGAATGGAAAATGGCAATAAGCTTAGAGCCTACAAGTTATAATATCACACGCACACCAAAACGACAAAATATTTCCATCATCTAAACCGAGCTCCATTCGAATTTTATCGCTTTGTGTGTTGATGATGCATCTCGAACACATTTCAGCCACACACACACACACACACACACACACACACACACATTGAATTATGACATTTTCATACGGCTTATGTAGTCAGCAATAAAATTAATTCACATACACTTTTAGCAAACTTAGCAGTTTGGTTTGTGACGATGAACACACTTCTTTGTTTGTTTTTGCAAAGTTTTATTTCGGTTTTAGTTGAGATGTAGTTGAAGAGTAGCTCGCGTTTCTATTTTCTATCTCCTTCTCACTATCTCTCGCTCTTCCTCCTTCTGCCCCACTCTTATTCTTTCTCCCTCTCGCTCGCACTCATTCTCTTCCTTTTGCGTTTCAGTTCAACAAAGTGGAAAGTTAATACAGAGGATCTTTTCATCGTAATGCAGTATCGCATCGTATAAAGCTCTTTTATTTCACCGTTTACTTTAGTTAGTTTGAGATGTGTTTTGCATGTATTTTCTTTGTACAATCCCGAAAAGATCTTCTAAAGCGTCTTACTTCACCATATGAAAAGATTGAAACTCGCTCATCCATTCATAATGATTGTGTTAATTGAATAAAACTATCTCGAATGTGAAATTTCTCTTTGAAAACTTGGTATAAATGTGTTAAAATCCACTTAGAATACGCACAACATATTCATCGTCATCGTCTTTCCATTTTCCATGTTTAAAATCCTAATCCTTTCACCACCTCACCGCTGCTGTACTAGAAAGAGGAGAAAAAAAATCAATTTGTTTATGTTTTCTTTTAATTTCAATTAAATAAACCTATGATTATAAATTGTTGTTTACCATTGCTGACCCTTTTTTATTACTTGCTGACTATTTGCTGCGCAACAAACTTCATCCGACGAGGGTTTATAATCGAAAAGCTAAATCGAAAACAATGAACGCACTGAAGCGCAACGACGAAAAAAAACACACATACTCGAAATTGTATCATGACAAAATTACCCTCGTCGAATTGCATTCGGATCGGCTATTAATGGAACAATATCCGCCGTCAATGTATTTGTGTGTGTATGGCATACACTGTATGCATTCGCTACATATATGTGATGTGTAACTATTCGATCATCGTTAAACACATTTTTTGGTTAAAATACGCATTCGATTCGAATTTGAAATAAGCTAATTTAGGGAGATAAAAACAGTTGAAAACATTTAGTTCTAATGAGAATATTTTTCTTTTGTTTTAGAGTATTTTTTTGTTTTTTTCCCAGCAATTTAATTCTCATTTAAAATAACGGTTGTTTTGGAATTTTGGGCGTTTTCAAAAATGGAACACAAAATATAATAATAATTAAGCGAAAAAGAATGAAATTCATTTGATAAATTATTAGTTCGAATAGAAAAAAAACCAAATCAATCATTGGTTTCAATTGCAGAAAGAATTGAACTTTTTTATTTTTGGTCCAAAAAAAGTGGTTAAAATCAATCGATATCGGTGAAAATCCTTCGCTTTGAGGTTATGCCACAGCAAATCCTCTTAAATGAACCGAACAAAAACTCCGTCGTTTGGTCTCTTCCGCTCGACTAGAAGTTTGGAGTTGTGCGGATTTTGTTTCCTCCTCAAACCATTTTCGGTTGTTGTTGACGGCAACAATCAAATCTATTGACCATAAAATCATTCAAAATGAACCTAAAATTTAAGTGTCAAAGAATTAAATATCGCCTATGGTGCACTTTGCGCCAACAATTCAAAACATCGTATCCACATTTCTATAGCCGACAGCAATTTGGTATTCGTTCATTTGTCAGCGAGTGTCTCCCTTTCGGTTTGGCTGGGAAAAACGGCATTACGTGGTTTGATGACACAACGAACCTTACTTTTACCTCAATAATTGTGTAATGTGTGAAACTTTGCAGATTCATTCCATTTATGGGATGTGCGAACGAATGCAATGCGAAGATGGGATTCCAGAATGAATCGAGAGAGCAAAAGAGAGAAAGAGAGTGGGAAGAAGAGAGATAGAGTGAGTGAGATTGAGAGGAGTGAGACGATTGAAAGCGGATTCGAATTGCGAAATGCTTTTTACTAACGGGAATTAGGATTTGAAAGCCAATCTATTTTACTTAACCACGATTTGAGTCAAGCCGCCGGGCTGAAGACAGCAAACGGGAAAAGACAGTGACAATGCATTGGCACATTTGGTGCCATTTAAAATATAGCATTGAATAATTGATAACAATGCCAAATTACACATCAAGTGCTCTTCACTTTTATCGCTTCACTTTGCCGAACACAATATCCATTCTTCGGTTTGGTGGAGATGAGTGGTGGAAAACTCGAACATGGTCTTTTATTTACCAACAAATAGAAGCCGTGACACTCTTGACCACACACACACATACAATCACATCGAACATGACCAAATGCGGAATTTCGGTACTTCGGAATTCTATTTGCGTTTGGCAACGAAACACAAGGAAAATTCGCAAGCTAGATCTAAAAAAAAGAGGGCCAGAGACGATACAGAGTGATAAATATATCGAGCGAAAAATAACATCTGAAACTTTTGATGTGTATTTTTGTGTGAATTCTCTGTTGACATTACACGGACTCATGGCAGTTCCGGTGTGAATTCTGTGTAAGTTACAATGTTATCTCGCATTGGGGATTTGTTGTTTTTTTCTACTGTGTTTCGATGGATCCACCATTTTATCACGTTGAAAGTGAACATTGTTGATGGTATGAACAGCCTCTCAATTTCGCAATTGTGTACACTACACACACGCACATTGTAAAATGGATCGATTCACAGCTATGAAAACCAGAGTAACAGAGATGGAATGACTGACAGAGAGCCACAGTTTAACGAAAAGATTAACAATTCCCCCATTGTTTAATCCTTCGATCCGATCTAGTGTCATGTCAGTCTGTCAGCATGAATTGCGCTAGTGAAAATCCTATTAGAAAACAGCAAACACAAATACACATTCAATGGCGATCAGAGTATGAGCGCTGCACATGTATGAGACAGTCGAACAAAAAGTACATGATACAATGCCATCGGGTGTGAAAAAGCCGAAGAGTTGAACAAACGTTTTAACACAGCCAATAACATGTCCGACAGAACAACAACAACAACAATACATACGCTATGTGCTTCAATTTACAATTCATATGCCAAAATACACAAGTGCAACGACAGAGACAGAGACAGAAGGCGATATTGTTTGCATTGTGCTTGATTTATTCGGCATTTAATCGAACACCATTCACCATTATAATCGATATACATATATATATGTTTTTATTTACTGCCTGGTCCGAATTCATCATCATCGGCCATTGTAATATAATTTGCCTTTGTGTATTCCGTGTCGGTATGCCAAATCCAAAAAGCTGCCTCTCACCATAACAATGCACGATGACTGGAAATTCGGTATTCAACGATTTTCGAATAGAATCGTTCTGTACAAATTGCATTTCTATTCTACTTCTGTTGTGATCAAGTAATGCCGATTGACTCGTCATCAAACTACAATGTACAACAATAAAGATAACACAAAACATAATTTTACATCGATGAATAATGGATTTCTGTATAAATGATTCAATTTGCCAAATTGGTTTTATCAATGTGAATGCAGCAGATTACAAATGCAAAATTTATTTATTACCACAAAATTGCGTGTGTTAGTGTAATACGCACGCAAATTTTCAGCATATACGAATTTTCAATTGTTTTTTTATCGGTTTTTGCATTCTCTTTTGCAGCAGTCCAACATGAACGTGGGCCAAGGTGAGTTTTTTTTTGGGTTCTTTTAAGTGCCTGCTAAAAGGAAATAACAATTTTCAATTATTTTTCCGTTACTGAAGCAATTTCACTTTCGTATGATGAATAATTTTCAATTTTCTATCACTTACATGTTTACATAGAAAACCAAAATTACATAGTGCGCTGATGGCAAATGGTTCGCATCAAAGTCATTTGCAAATTCAGGGCTTGGTGTCCAGCGCATACGCACAAAACGCAGCAATGGGAGGAGGACATTCGTCTGGCTTTCATCCAGTCATACCGCACATCCATCATCCCGTGCCATTTTCACCAATTCTACACCCAGCACATCATCCACACGCACAAACACAACATGGACACCATTTATTAGCCGTACCATCGACCAATGAATTTTACAAAAATTTCCATCCGGTAAGTTGATTTCATTTAGCGAAAATTAATGATGTTTTTGAATGAAACATTTGACAAAATAAAAGGAGACCAAGAGAACAAACTGAATAAAAGAATTGGTAATTCGAAATAAACTTTACTTTTTCCAAAAAATGAATGGAATTCAATCAAAATCAAAATCTTCATCCAAAATGTCCAGGAAAGTCATTCAAAAGATCAAACAAGTTTTAAAAACGAATTCAATCTAAGAAATACTCGATATTTGAAAAAGTTGCCTTAAAAATCGATAATCTCCCAACTTTTCGACTTTTTAGCAATTTAAATTGGCTCAAATGTAAATCAATCATTTTTAGACGTTATTCGAAGCTAATTTTCTAATTTATCTCCAAATTTCAAGTCCAATGTAATTGTGCCAAACGTTTTATCGCACCCAATGCCGGCGTTGCCGCCACGAAGGCCGATCTCAACGTCGGTGGTACCGAGTACTCTTTCCACCATTTCGCACCAGTCACATTTCTCACCGAAAAGCAACACTTCCAGCACAATTGAACCATCTCAAGACAGTGTGAGTCCACCTTTGATTGTAGACAGCATCGAGAATGTGGCAAGCCCAATATCTGTAAACAGCAATAGTAACAATAATAACAACAACATCACACCAAAAAACATGCACAAAACTAACAACGAGTCAACGAACAATAACATCACCGCAGAGAATACAAACGCAAAAAGTAGTGACGGTTTGGTTTCTTCCAACAGTTTACATCAAAATGGTTCGCGAAACGAACAGCAAAACAGTCTTTTGGATATTCTCATGAATCCGGATAAGTGTCAGGTAGGGATCATTTTGTTTTTCTTAATTTTTATTCAAATATTGAAAATTTTTAGCAATTATATTTTTCTTGACAATTTTCATCATCATTACTTTTATCTCAAAAATTGAAAAGTTCTTATTAAAAAGTTTTTATCAAGAACCCTTTACTAATTTTAGTTTTTATCGATTTTTAACGAAAGTAAATTGTAATTTATTAAATTGAAAATTTCCATCCAGGAATTCATTCACTATCACAATTCGATGATTTTCCCGACGGCACCGTTGTCTGCATCATCATCAATGTTACCAACATGGGAGGTTTTGCAAGAAACATCGGCACGTCTTCTATTTATGGCTGTTCGATGGGTGCGATGCCTAGTACCGTTTCAAACGCTATCGAAAAACGATCAACAGCTATTGCTACAGGTTTGTCAACCATTCGATTTGAATCAAGCAAAAATTGAATTTTCAAATTGAAATGCACTTTATCAAAAGAAAAAAATCACTTCTTAACTTGCAAGCGAATTGAGATTAATTTTCAGTCTGTATTTTATATAAAATCAAATATAACAAAGAACAAACCATGTTTTGAGCGTTGTACCCTTTTCAAAGGAATTAAAAAACGGCGTATAAATCAAAAATAGAATCGGCTGCGTAAAAATAATTAGCTTCAACTTTTTAATCGGATTAACTGTTAGATGTTTCACTTGACTGTATTATTTCCGCTTCAATTCGAAACCCTTAGAAAATGAGCCTTGATTTTATCGCAATAAAACCGCATTACTGTGATAACAATCAAGTGGTGAAACACAAAAGTAAAAAAAAAAAAATCTCAAATGCGAAATTATTTGACTTAACAAAGAAAAAACTAAGCCACTAAATGTGTCCCTTGAATTTTGTCCCGCAGGAATCATGGAAGGAGTTATTTTTGCTGAATTTGGCTCAATGGAGTGTTCCATTTGACTTGGGAGCAGTGCTTGACAGTGTACAAGTGCGAGAGCGTATTCCGAATGATGCACTAACGGCGAGTGAAATGAAAACAATCCAAGAAATTCTCTGCCGATTTCGTCAAATATCACCGGATGGTTCCGAAGTCGGTTGCATGAAAGCCATTGTTTTATTTTCACCCGAAACACCGGCATTGTGTGACGTTCAACCGGTTGAAATGCTACAAGACCAAGCCCAGTGCATTCTATCGGATCATGTTCGCTTGCATTACCCACGTCAACCGACTCGTTTTGGTCGTCTATTACTTTTGTTACCTTCATTGCGCGCCATTCGGCCATTCATCATTGAGTCCATGTTTTTCAAGGAAACCATCGGCAATGTTCCAATATCAAGACTTCTAGGGGATATGTATCAGATGGAAAAGTACAGTGAAAGTATAAAGTAGATTGAAACAAAAATACATTCCTCTAAGTCTCGTTGTTTTTTTTTTCAACGGAGGAAAAATAATTATAGCACAACGTTTGTTTATGTCAGCACATAATGAAAAATCAATATTTTCCTTAGTTTCCATTGGTTTTTGTTATTTTTTATCTACGCTCATTTTTTTGCTTCTTGGCTTCCGGCAAAATCTCTGCCATTTGCTTTGTACGGTGAGCGGTAATAACGATAACCGTAATAACGAACATGCATTCGAACAACCTGTTCAAAGAAAAAGAAATGCAATTTCATAAACAAAAATAAAACCACCCTCTTTAGCATAATTTGGTGTCTGCAACTTGATCGTTTCAAATCAGAGTAAGAAATTGTGTTGTAATTTTAAATTATTTCTAATTTATATGTAATTGCTTTAAATTAAAATGCATTCAAACGTAAACTAAGGTATGAAAAAAGTGTAAAATATTTTATTAAAATAGCATTCAATCAATTATCGACATCAAACGTCGACCATGGGAGTAATGTCCAAATTAATAATTCGAGTTAAATTTAAGTAAGCCATAAACAAAAAATGATGCATAAATTATATATTAGATTCAAAATGTTCATGTTCTATTATATCTATATAAATATCATCCTAATCGAGTATCAATCACTGAATCTATTTATTGACTCTATCTATTGTAAATCTTCTAAAAATGAAATAAATACTACTCAATTTAAAAACAGAAACGTGTTTTTATCTATCGATCGCATTGCATTCACAAGTTGCCAATTTCAAAAGGTGAAATCGGTTTTACACATCGTCAAAAGAATGACACAATCACTCTCGATTTAACGTTCTATTCATTCATCAAACATATTATATCATCGAAGCACGAAGAACGAAGCGTAGGCAACATGATTCATGTTACATGAAACAAGCAACGAAGAGCGGAGTATAACAGCGTAGACAAGGCACACTGTAGACTTACTCTACTAGAATATAACGTTGGACGTTGTACGATACCATACAGTGACGTGCAACGTCACAAACAAGCGAAACGTCAAATTATGCGTGTGAACGACGCATGAAATGTTATTGCATCTGTCAAACAGCTCGTAAATGAAGTTTCTACATTCTTCAGTCATTTCTCTTTCTTGTATTCGGCAACATCGTCGGTGCACTGCGATTTCAATTATTTAATTGATTTTATTGTGAAATTTCCAACGAAATGGCCCGTTTTGCTGCATAACACATGGGTGAAATGCAACACTTTAGTTTGAAATTGATTGGCGATAGTTTGGGTAAATCGAGAAAGAGCAGCAAAATATTGAAATTTAGATCAAACATACATTGGTTGCTAATGTATTGAGCGTGTGTGTGTGTGTGTCATAACTGATATATATGGTATATTACCTTAAATGTTCTTTTTTTTGAGTTCATCACAAGAATTGTTTTCATTTATAAGCGAAAAAAATTGCTCAATGTGAATTTGCAAGTTAAAGTTAAACACATTCGGATAGTATTCGATAGCCTACTCACTTGCATCGACTAAAAATAAACACCAACCGCAAAAAGAAAGAAAAAATGTAATTGTCTCTCACATTCTTGTTCTATTTCTTATTTCGGAACGTATATCACACACATAGTCATCAACACGGAGTGTGCGAGCAAATCAATTTTATTTTCGGGTGTGAGTTCGGCGCGTTAGATTGCAGCTATTTTCCGTTCATTTGCGCGAAAGTTTTCATCGAAAAAGCAAAAACAATGGCCAATACTGGAGTACTGCCGTTCGTACGAGGCGTCGATTTCACCAACAACGACTTTAGTGTGAGTAATCAATTATGGAGTGCATGTTTTCATTTTCAAGTGTTTCTATTCAAGCGTAGCTATCGATGTTTCAAGGTCTGGTTGTAACATTGAAATCGTGTGTGTTTTTTTTTCTTTCTTTCGTTTGTTTGTTTTGATGCGTTTTTCTGCCGATACATGCAATGCGCATCTGCAGACGAATGTCATCGTTTATTTACTTACCATAACAAATGTACTGTCTGTTGAACTGTTAAAAACGATTCATCGTTTAACGATTTGTTAAAATGCAAATTTTATGGGTTTTTTTCCACAGGAAGGAAGATTTCCAAATGCCGTACGATTAATGAGCGGCGTACAATGGCTAAAATTAGACAAAACTCAAATGACGGAGATTCCGGAGGAAATGGGCAAACTCATGAAACTCGAAAATTTATCGTTGAAACACAATCAACTTGAGAAATTGTTCGGCGAATTAACCGAATTGACATCGTTACGCTCTCTGAATCTTCGACATAATGATATTAAAAGCTCGGGCATTCCACCCGAACTGTTTGAACTGGATGAACTGACGACAATTGATTTGTCGTTTAACAAACTGAAAACGGTCCCAGATGGCCTGGCCAAAGCAAGAAGTCTTTTGGTGCTTAATATGAGTCACAATCAGTGAGTACAAACATCAAGTTTTGTTTTTAATTTTTGATTTAAGGAAATCAACATTTTTTCGAAACATAAGTTTCTTTATCGGTTAAAAGAACGAAATTCCACAATTGTGTGGAAATCTCCCTTGTAAGGTTAACCTTGAGAATTTATCAACTTTCAACATTTAAATTCCATTTTTTGCATTTTTATTCTGACTTTTTTCATAGATAAAGTTTTACATTTGAATAAACTTCAATTTTCTCTTCACAGAATCGAGAGTATTCCAAACTCGCTATTCATACATTTGACTGATTTGCTCTTTTTGGATCTGTCGCACAATAAGCTGGAAACGTTGCCGCCACAAACAAGACGTTTAACCAATTTACAAACGTTGATCCTAAGTGATAATCCATTGGAATTGTTTCAATTAAGGTAATGAGTCGCTATTAATGGCATTCAAATTGTCGATTATGATTGAATTGAATGGTTTGGAACGAAAATGTAATACAGAAAAGTTGAGCAGAAAAATTTCGATGATGAATGAGCGGAAAAGGTATAGTTTACTATATAGCTGTCCCTTTTCATTTGACATTTTTCCGCTCAACTTTTCTGTATTACATTTTCGCTCCAAACCATTCAATTATTTCATAAATGATTCATTTTCTTCCAGGCAATTGCCATCGCTTCAAAATCTTGAGGTACTGCACATGAGCAATACACAACGAACGATACAAAACTTCCCAACATCATTAGATTGTCTATCGAATTTGGCTGAATTAGATATGTCACGGAATTCACTGCAAAAAGTGCCACTATGTCTCTACAACATGCCAAATCTGCGTCGCATCAATTTAAGTGAAAATGAAATCACCGAATTATCGCCGGAACTTGAATTTTGGAAGAAATTGGAGGTGTTAAATCTGTCACGCAACAAATTAACTGCACTACCTCAGACGATTTGCAAGCTAAGCCAACTGCGTCGACTCTACTTAAATGACAATCAGCTCGACTTCGATGGTATACCGGGCGGTATTGGAAAGCTGGGAAATTTAGAGATATTTTGGGCATCAAACAATTATTTGGAAATGGTACCCGAAGGCTTGTGTCGTTGTCCTGTTCTGAAAAAGTTGAATCTGAGTTCAAATCGTCTGATCACTTTGCCGGATGCCATTCATTTGCTAACTGATTTGGAGCAACTTGATTTGCGAAACAATCCTAATTTGATCATGCCTCCAAAGCCCGTGGAACTGCAAAAAGGTGCGGGTGTTGAGTTTTATAACATTGATTTCTCTCTACAACATCAGTTGCGTGTGGCTGGTGCTGCTGTTCCACCCGCAATAGCATCGACAGCAAATACACCAAAAGATTCGACTGCCCGGAAGATTCGATTGCGTCGTGGTCTTCGGAACGATTCAACCGACAAAGATGCTGCAAAAGTTCTGAAAGGAATGAAAGATATCGCCAAGGACAAAGACATGCAATCTTTCGATGATGATCCAATTATGGAGAGTTTGAAACCGAAACGATGGGATGAATCATTGGAGAAGCCGCCGCTTGATTACTCAGAGATTTTCGAAGAAGATGATGGTCAAATTCCAGGTCTAACCATTTGGGAAATTGAGAATTTTCTGCCGAATAAAATCGATCAAGTGATTCATGGGAAATTCTATCAGGGCGATTGTTACATTGTTCTCAAGACGTTTGTCGATGAACACGGCCAGTTGGGCTGGCAAATCTACTTTTGGATTGGTGCTGAGGCGACACTTGACAAACGAGCCTGTTCGGCCATTCATGCGGTTAATTTGCGAAATTATCTCGGTGCTCGGTGTCGTACGATTCGTGAGGAGCAAAATGATGAATCGGATGAATTCCTTGCTCTTTTCGATACACCAATTACGTACATCGAAGGTGGTCGAACAACAACTGGTTTCTATACCGTTGAAGATGTGATGCACAACACGAAAATATATCGAGTACATGGGAATGGTGCTTCAATTCACTTGGAACCGGTTCCAATGGATGTGGACTCTTTGGATCCACGCTATACATTCATCATCGACACGGCTGACAAAATCTTCATGTGGTATGGCCGAAAATCAAAGAACACAATCAAATCAAAAGCACGCCTGTTTGCCGAGAAGATCAATAAAAACGAGCGCAAAAGCAAACTGGATATTGCAATGGAAAATCAAGGTGAAGAGAGTGAAGACTTTGTAAAATTGTTCCAAATCGAAAGTGCGGCCGATATAAAACCAATTGAGCATGTTGATGCTGATTTTAAGCCACCAAAACCGACACTGTATCAAGTGCAATTGGGTATGGGCTATTTGGAGTTACCGCAAGTTGAAATACCGCAACAAAAACTCGTTCACACATTGCTGGTCAATAAAAATGTGTACATCTTGGATTGTCGAGTGAATTTGTTTGTGTGGTTTGGGAAGAAATCAACTCGACTTGTTCGGGCCGCTGCAATTAAACTATCACAAGAGCTATTTAACATGATTAAAAGACCGGAATATGCAACGATTACTCGTGTTCAGGAAGGTAACGAGATACAGTTGTTTAAAGCCAACTTTATTGGCTGGGAGGAAATAATCGCCGTTGATTTCACACGAACGGCACAATCGGTGGCCAAGACGGGAGCCGATTTGACCAAATGGGCCAAACAACAAGAAACTCGCACCGATTTAGCAGCTTTGTTTATGGTAAACTTTGTTGTTTATGGTACATGAACGTTTAAATGAACGTAAAAATGAAAAATCGTTTAAATTTTAATTTTACGGTACATTAAACAATGAACGTTTAACGTTTTTTCTGTTTCAATTTTAGCCACGACAACCGCCCATGCCACACTCGGAAGCAATGCAACTTGAAGAAGACTGGAACTACGACCTTGAGGCAATGGAGTGTCTGGTGTTGGAAGATAAAAAATTCGTTCGATTGCCCGAAGAGGAGTTTGGCATTTTCTATTCGGGCGATTGTTATGTATTCTTCTGCAAATATGTCATTCCACCGGAAGAAGATGAGAATGCGGAACAATCAGACGCACCACCACCAGCCGATGAAATCCATTGTGTCGTTTACTTTTGGCAAGGCCGTGATGCTGGCAACATGGGATGGCTCACATTCACCTTTACATTGCAGAAGAAATTTAAGGCCATGTTTTCCGATGACCTTGAAGTTGTGCGCATTCATCAACAACAAGAGAATCTGAAATTTATGTCACATTTCAAACGGAAATTCATCATTAAATGCGGCAAACGGAAAGAAATCATCGATCCAGACAAGAAGAAAGACAAAGTCGAATTTTATTACCTTCGATCGAATGGTAGTGCTCTCTGTACACGACTCATTCAAATCAACCCAGATGCATCACAGTTGAATTCAGCATTTTGGTGAGCAAAAAAAAAAATGAAAAATCATTTAAATTATAATTTTACGGTACATTAAACAATGAACGTTTAACGTTTTTTTCTGTTTCAATTTTAGTTACATTTTATTTGTGCCATTTGAGGGTTCAGACAATGAAAATTCAGGCATTGTTTATGTTTGGATTGGCAATAAAGCAGCAGCAGAAGAAGCAAAATTGATTCAGGAGATCGCTGAAGATATGTTCAACAATCCATGGGTCAGTTTGCAGGTGAGTCTTTCGTGTTTACAACCAAGTGAAATCAAACGATCATTCACTTGAATCGAATGAATTCTGGTGTGATTTTGAAAAATTTCCCTTCAACAGATTTTGAACGAAGGAGAAGAACCAGAGAACTTCTTCTGGGTTGGTTTGGGTGGACGAAAGCCATACGATGAAGAAGCTGACTTTATGCTATACAGCCGACTGTTTCGATGTTCAAACGAAAAAGGCTACTTTACCGTGGCCGAAAAGTGTTCCGATTTTTGTCAAGACGATTTGGCCGATGACGACATCATGTTACTGGATAACGGAGAGCAAGTATTTCTGTGGTTGGGCTCGCGATGCAGCGAAGTGGAAATCAAATTGGCATACAAATCTGCACATGTAATATTTACGAACAATTTCAATTTATTTTTGTTTTCTTCAATATTTTATCATGAAAATCATAAATTTCCTTACTCCATTCGCAGGTGTACATTCAACATATGCGCATAAAACAACCGGAACGACCGCGCAAATTATTCCTTACGCTCAAAAATAAAGAATCAAAACGTTTTACAAAATGTTTCCATGGCTGGACGGCACACAAAAAGCAGCCAGATTAATATCGGTGCACATTTTTTTTTCTATGTTCGACCAATTTCAAAGCGTCACATCAACAATTAAATATTCTTTTTTTTTATTTAAAAAATATCATTCATCAGCTGAAAATCTCTCACGGTTCAACTTTGATGTATTAATTTATACATAGCAATAGAGATTTTATCCACATTGTGTAACATCTTTCTTTTTTTTGTAATAACTATGTATGTCATCCTACAAAATTTTAATCGAATAGAATAAAAAGTTTTTGCATGCAAACACGCAATTAATGATCACAAAACGGCCTTTTATTTGGAATATCACGGGAAAACTCAATGTTTCACATGCCTACTACGGCAGTGGAGAGTCATCATGATGAAAATTCCAAGGCACCTGACTGAAATCGACGAGCATAAATATTCAAACAACTCTAACGATGATAGTGTGAGTGGTTCTCACGATACCAACTGAACACCAATACACACCGGTAATCGCACCCTCCCATTAAAATGGCACTATTTTAAAAGCAGATGCGCGGCCTATTTAACGTGCGTGAAGTTCAATTTCCGATCATTGCGATAGACATTATTGGCACGATTTAAACGTGAGGACATTCCACCATTGTACAATATATGGTGTTTATTCATAGACTAATACTGCTCACATGCGTCGTTATGCGGTTTCGCTTCAGTTGTTTTTCAACAACCCTATTTAATTACAGTATAACGTCGAGGTAAAAAACGAATGGAAAGCAATGATAGCACGTCCTTTCCAACACTTTTTATAGGAATAGGCAGGAAAAAAAATCGAAAATAGTTTTTTTTCCATAATCATTGTTATTAAATGAGTCGAAGATACTTTGAACTTTCTTGTTGGTGTATATATCAATTCACACGCTTGAGCTGTTCAAAACATCAAACTAAAATAGCGATATTCACTACTCAACTCGGTCGGATTATTCAACAAGAAAAATCACCTAATTGCTTCGATTCTATTCTATAGTTAATGCTCTAAATATATATTTTATGCACCCTGTGATATTGGGTAATCACATATCAAAAATTTGAATTTTAAAAAACACACAATTATTTATTAAAAATAGCATCGAATAGACTTTGAGGTGTTTTGCGTCATCAGCAACACGTTAAATCTTACATTTAAAACCAAGGCTTCGTGATAGCATACCTTAGCACGCAGTATATTTAAGGCTCGGTATAATATACCAGCATATCGTACACACACAGCTGCCGCACACACTTCACTCGCGCGCAAACCGTTGCGTACACAGTAGGCCATTTCTCCATGTTGAAAAGTCGAAACCAACATACACATTCTGAATCGGTAGAGCCTGTAGATTCCAAATATATAATTTTCGTGTTATAAAATTTATTCCTCGCGAGAAAAATTGCGAATTAATAAATAAATGAATTTGAAAGGTTTTATCATTCAATTAGCCAGAAATTAATTTAATCCTCTAATGCATTCATTTTTCCCAGGGCTGGGAGTACTGGTACTTGATTGATTTTTGGTCATAGATAATTGAAACAATATTCATAATCCTGGAATGCTCATGGTTTACTCAGGAAATGCGATTGACATAAAACAGAGAACAATCAAATCCATTGTTTAAAAGTGTCAAAAATGTGTCTAATTTCGAGTTCGAATAATTTATTTTGTCAAATTTTTGTTTTTGCACACATTTTTGTTTATAACTTTACAATCACACTACATAGACAAATATTGCCAAAAACAAAAATAAAGAGAAATCATTGACGATGTACGGTTTACGTTCTACAGGCGTTCAAATGTTGCCCATCTAGAGGTGGTTGTATGCATTAGAGCGTTAATTCGCAATTTTGCTCGCGAGGAATAAATTTTATAACACGAAAATTATATATTTGAAATCTACAGGCTCTACCGATTCAGAATGTGTTTGTTGGTTTCGACTTTTCAACATGGAGAAACGGCCTAGTACACAGCCATCGCAATCAACTCAGAAACAAAACTTTGCTGTGAACGCAACCGTTTGCGCGCGAGAGAAGTATGTGCGGCAGCAGTGTGTGTGCGATATGCTGGTATATTATACCGAGCCTTAAATATACTGCGTGCTAAGGTATGCTATTACGAAGCCTTGTTTAAAATAATGAAAAAAACAAACGACACAAACAAATTGATTATGAGTAAGAAAACGAAAAGGAAAAAGAAAAGAATATAAGTACAAAATTCTTGGAAATTGGAAAAAATTATTGACCATATGTAGGTGTTATAATGTTATCAATTATCCAGGCTCATTAAGGTACACAATGGCAAACCGTATACAACTAAGGTTGATAGAATAACTTAAATGATTTCATGAAAATTATTATTAGTTTAAAGTTGATGAATATACGTAGGTACAATTTCAAAAATGTAGTTCAGATGTGTTAGAAGTCACGTAGCACCAAAATAACAAGAGAACGTAGTTTTTATCTGGAAATAAGACAAATAAATATTTGGATCGATAAGATCAAGGAAAAATGAAGAAAAAATTCAAAACTAACTTCATAAAGGTTTCACGAGTACAGTGATAGCCAGCAAGTCCTTGAATGTGGTTTTCCTTATTACTCAATGCGATCATCATTGGAATATTTCGCTGTAAGTTTATTGGTAGCAGATACCAAGCAATATCATACACTCCTTCACCAATGCAATGAAATCACTCTGTCACTTCGTTGCCGAGGTGACAAACTAATTATAACATTGAAACCACAACTGAAGTAGGCATCGGAATTTGTAAAATACCCATATAATTTCCATTTTTAATGAGCTAGAAATATTGATTGGATGACTATACGAAATGCGATTCTTTTGAGATATTGTAGTAAAAATACCGTATCAATTGTCAGCATTAAACTGCATAGAGATACCCAAACGAAAATCAGATAAGCACATATAATTTCACTAATCAAACCCGAAAAATTGTTAACGAATCTCTATGAATGAAACAATAATTAAATTCGTTTTTCTCATGAAAATTCACAATGAGTCACTCAACTCCTTTGCCTCTGCATGAATTTGTGCGATACCATTCAGCTTTTGCTTCAATTCGATTTATTTTTTGATGCTGAAATGCTTATGTTGCATTGCAATTTCATTTATTTCATGCAAGTTCTGTTCAAGATCAAATGTAAAATCACATGAAAATACGCAAAAACCAGATATGAAAATTAGAGTATAGGTCATTTCCATCCCTGCAGACAACACTGTAGACAATTGAATAAAAATGCCTGCCATATCCAGCCGGTGTTTTCCAATTGAAAGGAAACCTCAACATATGGGGAGAAAAATATTTATTCAAATGGAAAATTTATGCTGGATAAATTAAATGAAAGAAATCATTGGAGTGTCCAGATGAAACGTATCGATAAAAAGATGCAGCAATATTCGATACAATGAATATCGGAAGAATCACACAAATCATGATGTAATATGCCTTCCGTGCTAATGCTTCTATTTTTTCATTAGTTGCTTGGTAAATTTTTTTGACCACTTGATTTTCGCTCCCTATTTTTTTGTCAATAAAATAATAAAAATTATTAAATTGAAACGGAAAAGTAAATTTTATTTTCAGATTACGTTGGCCAAATCTAACTGACTCATCTTTTCCAAAACATATGATTAAATTGTATAAAACATTATTTAAAAGAATTTAAAGTTTACCGACATCGATCGATTTTAACACTTGCCGCTTTTTCACAAAATCTCATCAATATGCACAATCATGTGTAATTTGAATACAATTTTTATAATTATATTCACTGTGGTAGTTTAAAAAACATAGATTCCAAAGAGGAGATAAATCCTACTGCGACATTTGAGGCTGTGAGAATGAAAATGGCAATACAGGAATAAACATTCTGAAACGCATCAAGAAAAAAAATTCGCAAAAATGAATCATGAGTTCTGAATATGCAAAAGTGAAACATGAATTTACATGGGCAGCATAGGAGGTTCATGGCTCACTTTTGCGTATTCAGAATTCATGATTCACTTTTGCGAATTTTTTTTTTCTTGATGCGCTTCAGAATGTTTATTCCTGTATTGCCATTTTCATTCTCACAGCCTCATTTGTAAAATTATCGCCCAATTACTTCAAGTCGAATTGAAGTAGCAACAGCTGTACATTTTTCAAATGTCAATTTTGTTTCTATGCTATTTAATAAAGCATTGTTTCCTATCATACACAAACACCAATCAATTTTTTGTTGTGCAAAGTTACGTTTGATGTTTCTATTATTAATTTATTGTTTTTTTCTTTAATTTCATAGATTTCTGTTTTTTTTAAATGAAACACATTTTGCCTCATCTTCATATTGAGTATGACTTTAATTGTTTTCTGTTCACCAAAACATGTTATCGTAATACTCAAATTCTATATTATAATACTTTTCATTGATTTATTCATATGATCCATTTGAATGTGAACTTCACATTGTGAGGTAAATTTCTACTTAATAAACGACGGTTGATCGCAGAAAATCGAGTAAATGATCGTTGTGTTTATGTGATTCATCTTCTTCGCACGGTTGACATGAGCATGTTTTTGGCACAGAAATGGGAATGGTTTGTTTTGATCCATCGGTGCATTTCACTGGAACCTTGAGTTCTTCGTAGTTTGCAACTGAGCAACAAAGGCACTTTTTATCTTGTTTCAACGTGAGTCGATTGTATTTCGTTCCTGAATTACATGCGCCATGACATTCGGTGAATCCTCTTATGGGCTGAGTATTGACACACTTGCCATGTGAATCATTCACTTCGACCAAACCAAGCGTTTGTGAGTCGCTCAATGAAATCGGAAGACAGAGCTCTGAAATTGGATCAAATTAAATAATCAATGTTCGAAGTGTCTAATGAAATATATCTTTTTTAAATTAAATTAATTAAAAGGGATAAAAATTTCAAAATAAATTATGTACTACATGTATTTAAAAATGAAAAAAATGTGTTGAACCAAAACTTACTCTTATCTTCGATTTGTTTCTTGCATCGTTGGCAGCAATCTTCTAAATACCTCTGCTCTATCGGACAATCGCTGACATCGGGGCATGTTGACTGTGAACTGGACACGACCATTTGATTTCCAAGCAAAGTGCATTTGAAAGTGGTGCAATTGTCATTGCTGAACCACGTTGCGCCAACTTCGTATGTTTGATTGGCAAGTACGCATTTGTCTTGAACACACTCACCGCAGCAATTACCTTGTGGTACATTCAATTTAAATCCGATGGCACACTTTTTGAACGGACATATTTCTTTTTCTTCCGAAACGGTTGACAGTCCATTAGCACCATAAATGCATTTCTTTTTGATGCATGGTTTATCGGTTAGCCAAATTTCGCCCACTTTCTTTGCAATTGTTTTGCCGTTTAGCTCGAAAAGGCACAAATTCTTGGGTGGAGCACAAATGAATTCTTCGCAACATGGATCAGCGTGTGTTTGTTCCTTTTCAACGATTTCGTAAAATTGATGATCACATTTTACTGGTTTGGGTGGGCAAGTCGATTTATCACAGACTATTAGTTCTTTTGGACAACATCCTGTTGTTTCTTTGACCAATTTTTCGCCCGATCGAAGTGGACGATTTTGAGCTGGTTTGCACTCACTCAATGGCTTACATTCACAAACGTACGAAGTGCAATTGCTGCTGTCAATGATCAATTTAATGAATTGATCCGGAGCGCATTTTGGTTGAGGTTTGTCAAGACAAACAGCCGAAATTGTTTCAGGAACGCATTTAAACTGTGGACAACAATCATTTGCCGAAGCTTCGATCAATACTTCCTTGAAACCGACTTGACAAACCGCTCCACTGACAGCGCATTGTTTGTTAGTGCAATTGGCTTTGCCACTGACGGTACATTCACATTCGGTGCATTTGTCTGGTTGCCATTTATCGCCAACGAAATGATTGTTATCATCACACGGCAAACACTCTCTTTCGCTGACACATTTTCCATTTTGATTCAAAATCTTTCCGTGTTTACAGAAACAACCGTCGATTGGTTCGGCGCAATTTTCATTCAAAATCTTCGTTTTTTCCGACGTTGTTTTTCCTTTGACCATTTCGCACGTTTTATGACAGCTGCACGCTTTGTACTCCATGTCTGCGGGACATTCAAAGTTTTCGGCGCATGCACCTCTCTTCCCATCGACGCAAATTCCATTGCGAGAGCATTCACGACCATAAGCAGCCAAATGAGAACACGCACCTTTTTGGTTGGGTCCCGTTTTGCACATATCAAGTTGACACATTGACACATACTTCAAGGCGTTAACAATCAAATGGCATTGACCGAATGCAGTCTGATCGAGCAGTTGCAAACATGGATCACTGTCTGGCGGCAATGGAACGCATTCTTCATTGATTTTCGTTTCACTAACACATTTCTCTTTCAAATTCAACGCCGGTTCATCGGCCAACCATGTTTGTAGTATTTCATTCAAATCATTGGATTTCACTTTGTCCAACCGTTTTGGATTTGGTTTGAGATCATCGGTCGGGTCACCGTTGCAATTTCCACAAAGACCTTCAACGTTACTGCTGTACTTTACGCTTGGAATTTTAATCGAGAACGATAAATCGTCGAAAATTGCATTTACTTCAACCGAAGATTTCACCAAGTCAATGTTAACTCCTTTGCCTCTATCTTCGGTTATTGAAACCCATTCTTTTTTAAGCGGCAATGACGTCACCGCAATGCCGTCGACCAATGATTCTAACGAACCGGGTCTCTGTGCACTTCGTTGCAAGTGAATGATGTGTTGGCCGTATAAAATGTGCAACGATTGTGTGCAACTGTGTTCTTCATCGAAATTACCTCGAACATCTATGTCATATTCGAGGTTGTACGTTGGACATGGACCAAGCGATACATACACCTGGAATGTGTGTGCATTTGGTACTTGAATATCACGCGACAGCAAATATGTGCAATTTGCATCGAATGTAAAATTTTTGCGATCATAGGTGATGTACTGTGATCGACCGAATCCATCGCAAACGCAATCTTTGCACTCATTGACTGTTATACATTTTTCACCCTTTCGAACGGTTCCTTCTGGGCAATAACATCCGGAGAAGCATGTGCCGGGCAAGAACGGACAATTTTCTTTGCTGAGTGTATCGCAAGATGGTTCACAACGACGACGGTAACAGTCACGATGCACCAACGGAGCTGGACATGCAATAATGCAATCGTATTTCGAACGCCATGTATCAAAATGAATGTTTCCATCAGCTGCCATGCATTCGGTTACATAATTTTGCAAGAGTGAACATTTACAATTTTGTGCACCCTTGCCGGATTTGAGACATTCACATGCCGTTTCCAGGCATTTTGAGATGAAATGATCAGCATTGATTGCATGCGAACACGATTCGAATGCCCCGTCTTTGATTTTATTGCACATTTCCCAGGCAACATCTTGATCTTGCTGTGAACAGGCATGTGCTTCACATTTCAGTTTGGACGTCGGATCACGCCACCAACCATCACCGAAATCAACAGTCGATATTACTTGTGAACCATTTGGCAAACGCTTATCGTCATTTGGATACTCGTTGTAGTAACCACATAAACCATCCACAAGTGATTTGTATTTTGATGAAATGCCCACTTTTACATCACCATTCTCGTCTAGACGCACCCAGAACTCTTGTAAATGCGATACATACAGGATGGAATTGCCAACTTTTGATATCGTAAACAAATTCATTTGACTGTAAACGGATTTTTCAAGCTGATCAATCGTGTATTCGTAGTCATCAAGCTTGACTCTCGAATCGGTGTAGAGAATAACAACCAAATTGCACGATTTGTCGGTGATTGTTAGCTGATTTCGGCATGTGAATCCACCCGTTGAACAATTCTTTTGAACTGTGGAAAAAGATTAACAGAAAAATCAATTGAACAATTCACAACAACAAAATCAATGAAAAATTAACAACAAAAAAACGAGAAAAAAATTATTCTGAATTTGAGGGAAAAATTTGAGTTTAAAATACTCACTCGAAATGGTCGAATTATTCGATGATAGATCTCTTGCCAGAATATGATCGCAAAAGTCGTATTTGTATTCGACAGCATCGAAAGTGCTGAATGTTCGGCCGGTGATATTGCAAACGACATCTCTCTTTGGGATTAATTCGCATTTATATTTCGAACAGGCGGCTGCCAATGGTGTTTGTTCAAAAACTACCTCATAGCCGCTCGGGCAGCTCGGAGCTGGACAGACAAGTTGTTCTGTTTTTGTGATGCTGATTGCTCTTTCTGGGATGCAATCATATTCAACGCACGCAAATTCATCCTTTTTCTTGTTCTTTGCATCGCCTGGCAGCGGCAGTTTTGAATGTATTTCGGTATTATCTTCGCTTGATTCCTTGTAGATTCCATCGACTTCATTGGCTAATGGTAAGTTAGCGCTATTCAGCATGGCTGACGGTTTGCTCTTTGTCGATTTCGTAACTTTAACATAAAAACCAGGTGGACATTTTGGTTCTGGGCATGTTTTTATAATGGTCGTTTTTTCTTTCACCTTTTCAATGATTTGAGTCTGTGATTGCTGTTTGTACGAACAGTTAATTTCATCATCTGGACAATCCTGGATGCCATTACACCAAGCTGATTCAGCAATGCAAGCACCGCTGGTTTGGCATAGAATTTGGCCAGCTGGGCATGGTTCACAAAGACAGAGGCATGCTGTTGATTTGACACGGCGCAATCCCGTTCCACATGGTTTACACTCTTGTGATTTACACTGAGTAACACCACCCAAAACACAAGTACATTGCGAACAATCGTCCGATTCAAAATGAGCACCAACACCATAGGTAATGTGATGCACGATACACGGACACATGCTTCGAGCAACGCATTCGACTCCATTCCAAAATTCTTCCGTTTTGCACTTGCAAACGCCTTCAATCGCGCTCGATGCACTATCGACTCCCGGGCAAATGTTACACTGGACGTTAATTGGGACGAATTTGGTTGTTGTTTCCACTTCAACTGCTGGATATTCGTAAGCAACGAAGCATCCAACTGGTTCAATCTTCATTTCAATACAATCGTGCCATTTGGTTGGAATAATTTTGATTGCACGTGCTTTAATTGGGAATCGGAAATAGTTGGCTTTTTCTGTTATGCCGTCGAAATTGCCCAAGAATAGTTGTTCACCACTTCCGTCGGTATTCAACAGCTTATTCCAAACAACGAAATCTTGCGTGTAAAGAATATTGTAGACTGACACCCAACAATGATCGCCTCCTTTGGTTCTTACTCCAGTTATATTGCGCAATTGAAGGAAATCGAATAGAACGTACTCATTGGGTGAATCTATGTACGGTTGCCAACCGACTATGGACGACAATTTCAATGACTCTTTAGCGTATTGTTCTGGAACGCTCGTCTTGTGCGAACTCAATTTGATTTGATTTGGTCGTAAGGCTCCGCTAACAACACCAAGTGGATCATCACAAATTGGCTTCTCTTCGATTTGCTCGTGATGAGGTGGAATCGTGTTTTCTTCTTCAACCACTTTGTATGGCGAACAACCGAGGAGCTCAGCTCGAATCGCAATCGACCCATGCCAGGTCAATGGATAGATTCGGATCACTTTTGCTTCGATTGGAATTTTAAACATCGACTTCACCGGCGTGCGAGAATCAATTGGACCATTGAAAATTTGCGGTTTCGACGTCTCATCGACCAAATAGTGGAATGCTCGGCCTTCGTGGCTATGCAAAATCTTGAAACTGGTTACATATTGATCAAAGATTGGACTGCCTTGCATAATAATTCCGTACAGTGGGACAGGTTGCTCGAATCCAATTTGTAAGTACTGCATTTGATCGTTGATTTCCGGAGACCAACTACCACCTGAAGGAGAGAAAATAATCATTTTTAAGGTAGCGTCTCTTATTCAATAATTCAACTCTAATTACCAAAAGTACATACTTGATTCGGGCGTAGATTTTGAATTGAGACGTGAAAACTGTGGCTTGAATGATGATGTCAAATAGCTGCTCGCATTGAATGCACTGTCGGGAATTGGATTTTTGCCATTCACCAAAGGAATCAAACTGAAGCGAAAAAGAATACGAAAGAAGTAGAGGAAGCAGAAAAGCGATGAAAACAAGAATAAAAGGAGGAAAAAGAAGAAGGGAAGATATAATTGAACAGAATATTTCTTCTTAAAGCCTTACTTTTCTGGTGCACAATCAGCCGGTGGTGTGATTGTGTTGATTACAATTTGTGTGTCTTTTACAACAACCGAATCATGAATGATTTGACTCGTGATTGGTTTTTCAATTATATCGATTGTTTTTTCTTTGCGTTGACAAGTTTGCACATCACAAACGTAAACGTTATCAATGCATTGACAGATTTTGCAATCGGACTCCTTGTAAATTGATCCAGGCTGAAAATGATTTCATTATTTTGTTATTGAAAAAATCAATTTCTTTCGGTATATTAAGAGAGTTGTTCAGAATAAAGTCTATTTTTCGTTTTTTCTTTCTTCAAAAACAATTTTTCTGCGTAGACAATGAAAATCATTAAAAGTGTCTACCATCAAAACTAACCTTTACAACTTTTCCATCATCACTTCGGCAGGTACAGTCGGCCTTTTTCACGCAAAGTTTATCATCGCGCCAATAGTAGCCGGGTCCACAGTCAATGGCCGCAGCTTCTGGAACACATCCTTTTTCGCATGCATTCCAGCTTCCCGTGCACAATCCGCTCTGTTGCAAATATTTGTCATAGAAATGACAAGCTCTTCCGCATGGAACCGCGCATTCACTCCATATCTGACCAACGGGACATCTCTTTTCGAGTTTTTCTTTTGTAATAACCGAAATATCTTCGATGATTTCATTTTCCCATTCGCCGCCGCATTGAGGCTTAATCCGCTTCACACTGTCAATATGATCACAAATCATCGATTGTGGATTGAACATCATATCTTTGCCGCATGTTTTCTCAACAAATATCCAAACGCCAGATGTGTTCATTGTGCAATGATAGAAATCATGACAATTACCCGGTTTTTCAACATGCGGAATAGCTGGATCACAAATCGAACCATAAATTATTTTGTTGGTTTTCTTTTTCTTAATGATCGTTTTTTCAATCACTTTTTTAATTTCCGTGACCTTTTCAACTTGACGTTGCACTTGACCGCATTCGGGTTTGATGCGTTTCACACTGTCGATGTGATCACAAACCATTGCTTGTGGATTGAACATCATATCTTTGCCACAAGTCTTTTCCACAAACATCCAAACGCCCGAGGTGTTCATCGTACAGTGATAGAATTCATGACAACTTCCGGGTTTTTCCACATGCGGAATGGCTGGATTGCATATCGATCCATAAATCAAGGACGGTGTGGCGGTGGTCATTTCGATGATTTTCGATCGATAAATTGGTTGTGTATAGCGGTGTGTTGTGTGATCAGGTGAATCTAGTGTGAATATTTCAACATCATCGTTACAGTTGCAAAACACTCGAATTTCATAATCATGACAAGCGCCTTCACAAACCAATCCTTTTTCCAATGAACATTCCGCATCTTCGCCAATCACTTTTGGATGCAAATGCGAGTCTACGCTGCGACACTCTATTTGCGACATGTAATCAGCATCGCAAAAAGCGGAATTTTTGTAGTTTTTCAACATAAACGCGTTCGGCAGTGGTTCATTGTCATTGAATTTGGTGAGATTTTTCGACTTTTCACCCACGCTCATTCTTTCTTGATTGATCCACTCACTCCAACCGGACAAACATGTTGCCGACGCGTCCTGATTCATGGTGACAACTGGCACATGGAATGGTAAAATTGATGTTGCAGTGCATGGCATACCAATACACACTTCCTTGCCCTTGCTACAGCGACACGTTTGACAGTTATCACTCTTGATTATATCGCCTTCGAAATAATCAACACCATTCAGGCTCAAGCATACTGGCTTGCAAATCGATTTTGGAACGCAGTCGACATATGAATCATTCGCATAAATTTGACCAACGGGACATGGTTTGATGTGGCAACCTTCAACACAAGTATCTTCTGCACAAAGTTTCCAGTCTTTTCCTTGATCGAGCAAATTATCACAAGTTTCAACGCCACAAGCAGATATGCAGGGTTTGTATTCCGAACAATGTGGATCGCATTGCATTGCTGAAGATGCGAAAGGAAAAGGAGTAGAAATGGAATGAAAATTAAGCTTTGACTGAAAGTAATTATAGTTTTCTGTTTTTAACTAATAAGCATAAAAGATGAATAACACAAAAAACCATACACAGACGCTGACCTATAAATGTTGAATATGAAAATGGCATTTCGATTCTCAAATCGAAATAAAAAATGAGCTTCGAGAGAACAACAATTGATATCACAAACGTTCCAAATGAAAAAAAAATCGGGCGTTTAAAAGCTACTTACGGCAAAAATCGGGCGTCCTCCATCTGATTGGCACGCCTTTCATCGTGCAAATATGAGCGTAAGCTGCAATTGCTGTACAAAGACATTCACAATCGCCACCTTGGTCACAAGCACAAGAGTCGAATATGCATCTCTTCATGAATTTATCCACATCAACTTCAGAATGGCACTGTGCAAATACTGAACTTTTCAACACACCACACTTTTTCTCTGCCCAAATTTTCCTCTCCGGATGAACTGAACAAGCGTCGATTTGTTCGACTGGTTCTGTTGAAGGAAACAATTTTCGATGTTTAATTAATTTCAAAAATAATTCAAAATAAAATCGTAACAAATGAAACTTGCCAAGAATTGGTTACTGAATTTTCATTAATTTCGATATGAAAACGTGTTTTCAATCAACTTACGTGGGCAAAATTCTTCAAGTTTCCACGAGTTGCCAAACAAGATTGCGCTTGATTCCAATCCAGTTGATGGTGATTGAAAATCGTTGACAGCATCACCGTCAAAATTTCCGCACAAGCCCAATACACGTCCCTTCCATCTGCTAGTCAATTGAACATAAATTCGTGTTCCACGGTCCCATTTCAATTGAACTCCTAATCCCGGCACTTCGACAACAACAAAAACGCCAGCACGATGAATTTTCATGATTTTTTTCTTTCCTTTGTGAACCATTTCGTTTGTTTCGCGTCTGCTCAACAATGAACCGGGCACAGTTGCATCGGAATTCAGTGTTACCGATTCGGGTTGATTGCCCGACAGAGCAATAGTAACAGATTTGGAGCAAGTGACGCCTTGTGACCCACATAATACATTTTGAATGGTAACGGTGAATCCTTCGCCGGAATCAATGACACCCTTTGACAGCACATAACTGCAAGCGCCTTGGAAATCAAAGTCCTTTCCATCGTACGTTGTGAAATGTGAATCGCCGTAAGTTGTGCATGTGGCTGGGCAAATTCGATCGGTGCAAACCCAATTACCGCTTTCACAAACACAAATATTACAATCACTTTTGATTTTATCTCCATCACTATAGCTTTTGCTTCCATGGTGACATGAACAATTCACCGGTAAAACGCATTTATTCAACGCAACATCTAAAACGTATCCTTTTTTGCAAACACAACCCGGTCGACATTCGATAGATGTTTTTGCCACGTAACCATTCATATTTTTACACGTTTTTGGTTCAGTCGGTTGACACGTTGTGAACTCTTCATTTTTGTCGAGCAAACATTGGTTTCGAATGTCAGCGGCTGGTGGATATCTGTCTTTGTCGCTATCACTCGCTTCCGTGCATTGCCATTCAGCTCCGGCACAAGTGCTGAAAAGTGAATCAATGACAACATAGTAGCAGTAGCATTGATTGAAGAGGAGGTAGTGAGTATGAATTAAAGTGATAAATGGTGAAGATGAGAAAAGTTTTCTAATATTAATAACCACAAATTAAAAGAAAGTTTTCTTGTAAAAATCAAGTTTTACCATAAATCCAAATGTTTTGTTCCCGGTCGAACTTCTTTGTATCCAGCATTGAAAGTGAGTCCCTTATAGGCGCACGGGCACATTGTAATTGGAATGCATTCGTTGTTTTCATCGAGCGCTTGTCCTTCAGGGCATCGACATCCTTCAACACATTTTGTGCGACAAGTTTTCGGTATTGATTCCATATCGGCACAGCTGCGATAACACCGATCCGAGCATTCTTCGTAAACTTGACCGGCAGGGCATTTAATTGCTGTAAAATTAGGCGAATAAAGTGTGAGTTAAGTGTTTAAAAATAGACTGATTTTAATTACAAATTTATTTTAACTTTGGCAAAGTCTTATTTTAAACCTAATCAACGACCTACCGCATTCTTGAATGGAGTGCCTCCAGTGAATGATGCTACCCTGTTGACTGCACTCGTTGGCGTAGGCCGAGAAAATTGAGCACATACATGATGCCGTATCACCTTTGCAAGCGCACATATCGTACATACAATCTTCGTAGTAGAGTTCAGGATCGACGTACCAATGGCATTCTTCGAATACTTTACTCTTCAACTTGGCACAAACTTCCAGCGCTCTTTGCTTATTCTCCATATTTGATTGACACGGATGCGGAATATTCACATCGTCATTAACAAAATCACAACTTTCCGTTGTACGCCATTTGTTTGCAAATGAGGCGACTGACGATTCAATATCACCTTCCGGTGTGAGGAAATCATTTTGTTGATTCGCATCAAACGTACCGCAAAGACCTTTTGTTTTACCACGATACGATGGCGGAGCATCGATATACACGCGAGTCATTCCATCCCACCACAACTTCAATCCATCACGGAATGCTACCAATAACATTGTCGAACTGGCAAATCGGATTCGCATGAACCCCTCGAAAATCTTTAATGGAACTTTCGTAATTTCAATACCATCGATTTGAATTAATCGACCTTGCTTCAGCAGTATCGTAGCCGTTTGATTTTCATGCTTCACCTTGATGGATATGGATTTTGTACACGATGGCATATCAACACCTACCGGACCGAAGTTCATCGACTCCGATATACTACCTGGAATTTTGATTTAAATATAAATTGCCTTGAATCAAACGAAACCCACATTCGGTTGATAATAAATTGCATGTTTGCTATGGGAATGAATTATAATTGTTTGATTTGGAATACTGCGCATTCATATCTATGAATAGGCAACCTTTTCAATTCAACGGAATTCAATTTTTGAATTATTCATAGATACAATTTGAATCGGATCAAAATGTATCCATTCTTATCGTGTAGACTTTTTTTTTGCGAAAATTCAATGCATTTGGATGGAATCATTGATAAACATAGAAATACCCACCCGGACAAGCAACATTTTCAGCAGCTATCTCCAGGTCATCGTTCGTTTTTAACAGATAGTATGAGCACTTGCCCATGAAATCAAAATGTTTCCCGTCAAATGTTTGGTAGTGTGGATCTCCTATGGCCCCACAACGCGCTCCGCATGATAAATCTGAACATTTCCATACCCCTTTTTCACATTTACATGTGTTACAATCCTTTTTAATCTCTTTGCCCGCTTTGAACGTCTTGCCACGCAACGTACAAGGACATTCTTCAACACGAATACATTTTCCATCATGCTGGATCGTTCCATCGGGACAGAAACATCCTTCGTTACAAACTGCTGTTGATATTTCATTCTCAACCGCACCTCCGCAAGATTTTTCATACATCGGAGCACATGCCTTATACACTCGACCATTGTCACAAGATAATGCTGGAATTGAAGAAAAAAAAACATAGAAAGTTCAATGGACAGCATCAAATGTGATAAAGCTAAAATACTTATTTAATCCTCTAATGCATTAATTTTTCCCAGGGCTGGGAGTATTGGTACTTGGTTGATTTTTGGCCATAGATAATTAAAAAAATATTCATAATCCTGGATTCCTCATGGTTTAGTCAGGAAATGCGATTGACATAAATCAGAGAACAATCAAATTCATTGTTTAAAAGTCTCAAAAATGTGTCTAATTTCGAAAGGGAATAATTTATTTTATCAAATTTTCGCACATTCTTGTTTATAACTTTACAATCACACTACATAGACAAATATTGCCAAAGACAAAAATGAAGAGAAATTGACCAATAAAAATTCCTTTTGAAGCAATTTGAGCCGATGTACGGTTTACGTTCTACAGGCGTTCAAATGTTGCCCGTCTGGAGGCGGTTGTATGCATAAGAGAGTTAAATAAACTTTTTTTTTATAACTTTGTCTTAAGAAAATAATGAAAAAAACATTTTTCTCATAAAAAAATTGAAATAAGTAGAAGAACGTACGACATAACTCCATATCTCGCCAGTCTGCCTTCAAATTAATGCCTTGGAAAAGACATTCTTTGGCAAATACAGTGAGCCCATTGCATGCACACTCGTTGCGATTTTCATATTTGCAATAGCAATAGTCTGAAATGCATGCTTCCAAAATCGCCTCTTTTTTCAAGCTCTTCAATGGAAATGGAAAAGAAAAAGTGTGGGAGGAGAAAATGAAAAAAAAAACGAAAAATAAAGAAAATAAAAATGAGCAAATAACATTTATCATTTTTTATCAATACAACAAAAATAAAGAAAATGTCTTACCGCCAAGCAATCGTTGAATTTTTCATTGGTCAGCAATTTGTTGCAAATTTCCTTAGCTGCTGTTTTAATATCATCGGAGCAGGTAAGTTCAATTTCTTGATCGTTAGCGACTTCATTCTCGCAGACTGAGTTTGGTGTTTGCCAAGCATCAACAAATGTCGCGGTGGTCTAGTCATGGGAAATATGATTAGAAATGACAATAATTGATATTATGAACAAAATTTTAATCAATTATTATCGTCATACTTTGTGAACGGATCCATCCTTGGAAGTAAAATCATTCATGGGGTCTTGATCCAGAGTGCCGCATAGACCAACTGTACGATTGAATAATGCGGCTGTAGTTTCAATGTTAATCAGTCGTTGTGCGTCCCAATTGATGGTCAATCCAATTAGTTCCAAGTTGATTTTGTATGTGAGGCCAACTTTGGTGATGCGAAGACCCATTATTTGCATTGGAATCGCCATTTCTCTGTCTTCTTTGAACAGAATTACCGAACCGTCTACAAAGAGAAAACAAGAAGAACAAACATTACTTCGCGTGCAAACTTTTCACAAATTCAATTATGCACATACTAATGCTTTCCAAAATGTATTTCGTATTCGACATCATTATTTCGAGAGCATGTGGACAGGATTGTTGATGTGTGTTCGAACAGGCTCTCAGCACAATGCCGAATGTACCATCGATTTTATCTTGGATCAACGTGTGTGAACAGCGCAAACTGTGAGTGTATATCAATCCGTCGAATGTTTTCACTTTGTTGCCATTCCATGTAGTGCAGGTGGCTGGTTTTGGCACACGATGTTTTACCGTCAATCCACTTGATATGTACAGCGAATAAACACCAATTGCTGGCATTCCGTTGAATCCTTCGCTTCCACCGTCTTCATCTTCGTATTCGTACTCGTATTCATCGTCTCCATAAGCTTCTTTGCCTTTCTTCGTTTTTCGCCCTTTTTTCACGATTATCGTCTTCGTTTTGATTATTTTCTCATAGCTACCACTATCTTCGCCTTCATCTTCCACCTCGAAACTCTTATGGCCCTTCTTACGGATCTTTTTCACTCGTCGCGTTCCCCCACTAACACTGCCACCTATGATTGTTGTTCGATTTAACGTTGCAAACGATTGAGACAGTTCATTGCCACGAACTATTTCCATGTCAGCACCTGCATTTTTTCCATATCACAAAGAGAGTTTAGAGAGAAAAAAGAAGTCGAATGCTAGCGAGAATATTCTAAATGAATTAAGTTTCCCTTTGAGAAATCTTGTTTCTTCACAATATAATCAATAGACTTCGGAGTAAAAAAAACGTGGCTCAAGAGAAAAAAACTCACTGTAATTGCATCGCGGAACGGTTGACGGCATGAAGTATCCCTTTTCATATTCGCAAACATATTCAGCGGCTGGTGGGCTGGAGAATGCAACACCTTCCGGACATGACAGCTTACAACGAAGTGCATTATTATCGCCCGAGCAACTGTACGCACCGTTAAAATCAATCTTCTTTGGAGCGCATACATCAACATTGAACTGACATTGTTTACCGCGGAACTCTTTGGCACATTGACAAACGTTGTACGACAAACACTTCCCACCGTTTAAACACGGTGGTGTACACGTGGCTGCAATGCGAGATTGAAAGAAAGAATGAGCAATGAGCATGCGACTACAAGAATGAACCTAAAAACTATGAATAAAGGCAAAAGAGTCATTAAATAGAAAAGCCTTTCCACATAGATGTGATATTGTATGTATACAAAACTCTCAACTCTTTCTTTTCATCATGAAAAAAGTCATTAACCAAAACTTGGAGTCGTAAATTTTTTTTTTCAATTTTCTAAGAGTATTCAAACAAATCTTACGTTGACAATCTGGAATGAAGCTTTGATCCGATCGCGATGGTGCCCATTCGCCGTCTTTGCAAATCATATTCGTAATTGATGTTCCATCGGGGAATGTATAACCCTTAGCGCAAGTAATTGTGCAACTCGTTGAGCTGCAAACCAATCTTGAATTATGTGGAACGACCGGTTTTGTCAAACACAACTTCTTCTCGTGTTCACAATATGGTCCGACAAAATTTTCGGCGCATGAACAAGTTCCAGGCTCAATGCAAATGCCATTATTTTTACAAGGAGGCATACAGATGGCTACAAATACATAATATAGTTTAGAAGAAAATTTAAATTGAATGATGTTGATACAGCGATCGATTGATTCAATAATAATGGTATTAGTTTTATCCAAAGAAAACGTTTCTCTTTGAAGAAAATCCAAATGTGAAGTTTGTAATTAAATTCAAAAACTTAATTCCACTTTCAATCAAAACTATGGTGCACTCACGTTCGCAAGCAAGTTTATCAGTCCATTCAAGATTTTCTATGGCCCATTTGCCGTCGTTACAGTAGACTTTGGCTTTCGTTTCACCATTCGGTAATTGATAGTTGTTCAAACATTGAACGACGCAAGTTTTCGTAACGAGCGAACACTTTGTGGATGCATTCAGTATGGTCTTCGGTTTATTTGTGCACACTTTCTCGACGGCTTCAACCAACGGAATGGCAGTCTGTTGATATCCTGAGTGGCCATAGCCAGATGGAACGGCAGTTGATTGATATCCTGAGTGGCCATAACCATATTGATTGAATGGTATCGATGTAGGTTGGTATCTACGTGCTGTTGAAACAAAAAATATTCATGATGTCGACTGAAACTATGTATCAAGGCAAAATTTCATTTGTGAAAAGTGTAAAAAGTATTAGAAAGCTCTTTAATCTGTCTTTTTATCCCGGAAAAATCATGGTTAATAATTCATGTAAATGAACTTTCAATCAAAACTCTATTGTACTAACGTTTGCAAGCAAGATTATCAGCCAAATTGAGATTTTCCAAGGCCCATTCACCGTTGTTACAGTACAATTTGCCTGTTGATTCGCCATTCGACAATTGATAGTTGTCCAAACATTGAACGATACAAGTTTTTCTAACAATCGAACACTTTGTGGATGCCTTCGCTATGGACGGCGTTATATTTTGACAGATTTTCTCACTGACTCTGGCCAATGGAACAGCGGTCGTTGCGTATCCTGATTGACCATAACCAGATTGATCAAATGGTGCCAATGGAGGCGGTTGGCCATTTGCCGAACTCGAACTCCAACTCGAACTGCTCGAATATGATGCCGCTTGAGATGGATTATTGAATCCATAACCAGTGCCTGAACTACTCGAACTGAAACTACTAGCAGCAGAGCTGGATGATGATTGACGTCCAAACGATGGGAAATTGAAATTTCCGAATCCTGTACCGGTTTGATAAGCATGCTTTTTAATAAAAACGTCGTGAACTTCTTCACCACCATAATCTTCCTTACCAAAATCATTTTGACTGCGGAAGAAAGAAAAAAAAATTCGGAAATTTAATTTATTCCCACAGTGAAAATATGATAATTTCGCATATTAATTTATGTACTACGATTATGAATATACAAGAATTCCCACGCGCTAATTCTTGCGGCTAACTTTTAAATTTTATCAAGGGCGAATGATAGTGAACTCAGTCAAGTGTAAGTATATCGCGGCAGTCGTTGCGTCTGTACATAAACTTTGATAAATCATTTCCAGTGCTCGAATGGATATCAAACGAATTGGCCCAAGGCCTTGGTAACTGGGTTACTGGTGAGTTATTTTTACTTTTACTCTATCCCACGAACGAAAAAAAACGCCAATTCCAGAGTTGCCTATCGCAATGCAACGCGTGTTGCGAATTTTTTTTATCCTCTTTTTGTGATCGTAGATAGAAGCAGAGAACCGGATTTTATAAAAAAGGAATTAATTTTTTTCCGTCCGATTACAAATTGTCCAATTTATTTCTCCATGGTGCTATGGAGTAAATCCGCACTCTTTTTTCCACCGAGTCTTCCCACAAACTGCGCATTAACATCGAAAATGGAAAATATCAAAGCAATCGAAGCTAAATTCAATCGGATTTACATAGCTGTAAGTAGCTACTCGTCGATTGAGCGGGTGTATTTTATTGAGAGACTGTTTATTAATCAGCGCAGAAATCGAATTACAGCTGGTTTTGAAGAAACGAAGTCGTTCGTAGCGAGAAAAGTTACGGTATATTCAAAAAGTTCCATCGATTTCATTCATTGAGATATCTACTTTTACCCTTTTTTTGTTATCCTCTTTCAAATGGCATTTACATTCGATCTTAAGGCAATTAAATCGAATAAAATGGATTTCAAGATTTATTTCTATTTCTGCACGTTTCCGTTGGTAGACAAAATAACGAATAGACTACATCGTAATAAATGTTCGTGTCTAAACTTTGCGTTCAAATCGAATTATCGACGATGAAAAGTTTGAGAGATGAGCCAAAAAGAAGCACCACATTGTATCACTTCGGTTTGAGACAAAAATTCGTTACGCTACTTTTGCTTCTTCTCAGTTACTTTTCTGAACTGGTTCTGGATTTTCTCCTATTCACTAATTATTTGCGGAACAATTCTACGCACGAATTGAATCCGACTTTTGGGAAAATCCAATAAAATTACTTACTATCCTTCGGTATCGTCTACTTGAGACGTATCACACCAAATGATGCGTACACAAAACAAAATCACAACAAACTTGGAAAACATCTTTTTCCACATTTATTTTCGTATAATTGCTAAGAGTCTTGCTGAAATCAAATTGGCACTTTCACACAAGTATGAGCTTTTCTGTTGCAATGACTTTAACAACAGTTGTCAGCACACATTTTTCTCATCATTTGCACAAGTCTTGAAATTGAATAACACACTGAGGAAAAAAACACACAACTTCTTTCATCCACTTTTTTTCCCGTCACTTTTGCGGACTGAACTCACTTGAAATTATAATTAAAACTGATGCTCTCCATAGTGATTCAGTCGCTTTTATAGTACCCGAAAACTCGATGCCATTTAACTTTTATCACAGGATTGAACAGAAAAGAAAAAAATATGTTGAGATGAAGTTTTTGCTTATTGTGAATTAGCAAAAGATGATAAGCTGAAGCGTGTGACAGTTTTTATCTTGAAGAGAATTCATGGAATGCCCAACGCAAAAAAAACGGAAGTGAGCCATACTACGCTATACATTTGCTGGATAAACCAGCATCGTAATTTTTATTTTCGCCCATTTTTTCGCAATTAAACGTGTTATATTATTCGTGCGATGCTCTTATCAAACTCAAAAAACGTGGGTATTTTTCACATACTCACTCTATGTAATTCTCTGAGACTCGGTGAAGGCATAAGTATTTTGATGAGACGGAGACTGTTTTTCTCTCTCTCTTAGGTCAGTTCTACTTTTATTTTCAATGATCAACGACCAATTCTCGCCCATTTTTATCACATTCAACCTCGAACCACGTCTATTTAAAGCCCTTGCATCCGAAGATACTTAATTCCCGAGAAATATACGAACGCTTGCATTTGATATAATTAGAGTACTCCAATTACTATTGCGTACGTACACAATGGTCAATGACATTGGTAAATGAACACAATGTGAATGCCGTTGAGAAAATATGGATTTACACTTGGAAATTCCAATGTCGGTTTCCTTGTCTTTTTCGATTCCAGATAAAATTACGACAAACATTAGAGCAGCCTTTATTCAAATTCAAAAATAAAACAACAGTAAAAACTATTCGTCACACTCTACCCGGTTGGAAAATAAACGGATAAAGGAATTCCAAAAATCATCGGGTTTCAGTTGATTTGAGGGACATGATTTCTATCGTCAAAACAGTACGTACTTTTAATATACAACGCAAATGACATGGAAAAGCTAATCAGCTCACGCATAAGCAGACAGCGTAATACTTCAATTTATGGAATTAAGTCATTGGGATTTATTATCACGCAACTGATCCTAATGCTAGATAAAGTCCTCATTTAATCGAATAGCATTCTTGCTGATGATTTCGTCGGTAAATTGGCCGTGTAATCGAGATTCACCACAATTGAAGTCATTTTTTATTACAGCTATCTCTATATCAAATCATAAGCACTCGCTGCTGAAGAGTTAGGACGAGTGCCAGCCATAATAAAATAAAAATGTCTATCGTCAGTTCGTTCACTTGATTTACGCGACTTAGACGTGCCAAGCGAAATGGCTTTGAAGCAGAAAAAAATCAACTCTTACGTTGATAAAACGTTTGGCGTGCAACCGGTTTGGACATTGGCTCAGGTTGGTTCATAACTCACCGGAAAATTATCCAATGACGCGATTAAGTTTTTTTTTGTTCTTTTGAAACGTAGTTTATTGTCATCCCACATCGGAATGCATTTATTACCAGCGAAGCATACTGGTATAATTTGGTTGTCCGCTTCACCATTATTGCCATGTACGTTTTTACATTCGTTGCCTCGCTTCACTACGACTCAACCATTTTATCCAAAAATAAATCGATCGTATTGAAAATTGGTAAGCAGCGCTCAGCAAAGTATCGGTTTCAGAAGAAATTCAAAGTATTTATGAAAATAAACTTTTCCAAGAGTTTATTCCGAGCAACTTTTTAATTTTAACAGCACAATGCTACGAAAATATATATTTTATTCAACTTGTTTATAAGCAAACAAAAGTTTCAACTACTGAAAATAATATTAGTACCTTTCGAGGAAAGCTTTTTGCTTCTCGAACTGAAAAAATTATGAAGCGTGCATCTGAAATAAACACAAATTATGTTCAAGTAAGACTTCAATTTTTCAGGTAACAACTTGAATATGTACTGTGGAGCAATGATAATGATTTGCAGTTGGCTGATGACACTCAAGTTCCCCAAATTGGACGATATTTTCAATCAGATGTCGGCAATCGATAGGGAAATTGTTCAATTATTTGGAAACAATGAGAAAATTAGGAAGTCAGAACGTATTCTATTTCAATTCGAATTTACTTGTGTAGCTTCCGCCACCGTTGCGTATGTTGTAATTGGTGTTTATGACATTTGGATGTATCCACCGTGAGTTTCTTCTTATTTTGTCATTGTTATTCTGGTTTCAGTTTTTATTTGGATTGTCTCTTCAGTTTGATTGTATTCATACATAAATTGATTAAGTATGCATAGGTTTTTATATTGGTTAGACTATGTTGATTTTCGTTTATTCGAATAAATGTAATCAACTAGGAGAATCCGATGACAAAATGATAGCAAATCGATTTCTTTTGAGTACCCACTTTTTGCACTGAGATTCGTTTAAGTCGATTTTGATTTAAAAAAAAAAAGAAATCTATTTTGCTATCCAATGCAAATTATCACGGCTTTTATAAATACCAAAATGATTTTTTCCAGCTGTGGACTGTACATCATCTTCGTCGACTATTTCCCAGTGTCATATCCCTATGTGGTGGCATCGCTCATCGTATTGCAATTCGTAAGCTTAGTAAAAATGGTCCATCTACGCATCCGTATAATAAATGAGTTGAGCAATGCCTTGCATTTTATCAATCCGCAATCAATCAATATGTCTAAGGTTTCATTATAATTTAGATGTCTGTCGCATATATTGGATAGTTGTGAGGTGTCAAATGAAGCAATGCCATATCCTGAAGAGTCTATCGCCCACGGATCGGCGTTAAATTTGCGAAACCGTCGAATAGCCTTTATAATGAATCAGGATGGAAACACGGTATAGAAAACGTGACAATACAGTGCCCATCTCATGGGCCCCATCAATCTTATTTCTAATCTGGTTATTTCCGAAATCCTTTCCGCTGTAGAAAAACACGAGAAAAAGTTTATCAGTTGAAAATTTGACCGAGAAAAGTCTTCGCATTCTGTTTGAGTTACATGATCGTTTGATGGATGCATCCGAAGCGACCAATCAATGTTACTCAACAAATGGCATTGTTTTCGTGACCGTTTCATTCATTTATGCAATGTTCGGCATATTTTTTGAAACAAAAGAACTCTTTTATAACTTTAAGGATGCAGACAATCTGTGGATGATGGCGGCATCATATATTCTGTGGGCGACCCAATACAATGCAATTATTTTTGTGTTGCTATACGTATGCGAACTAACCCGAGATGCCGCCTACGACACATCGATGATTGTGCACAAAATTCTACAGAAAAAACCATCATTTCTCCTACATTCCGATATTTATTACAACAAAATGAAATCGTTTTCGCTTCATGTGCTGCATCGCAAGAAGACATTCAATTTTAGTGGCCAAGGATTGTTTGTCTTTGATTATACATTCATATTTTCGGTAAGTTAAATTTGATCTGTTTGTCTAACTGCGATTACGTTTTTATGCGCGATTTTATTTTGGCTTTGTTTTTTACAGGCAATCAGTGCAGGAACATCGTATCTCATCGTTTTACTTCAGTTTGATATGTCATTCGGCCGCGATAAGAACGTGTGAAAAATAGCGTATAGAGCAGAGATACGCTACTGAATACGCGCATTTTGCGTTTTATTGTGTCTGATTCATTTTGGTACAAAATACGTCATTTTTTATTTTTATGCCGATTGGCCTACGATGACGAGCGTACGCGATACAGCAAAAAAATATTAAAACTTTTTTTTCCATTTCGTTGGCAATGTGTCAAAAGCGATATATATTGAATGTACGCAATTTCGTTGTTTCGGAGGTGACACTTTTCCATTCATTTTACTCAAAATTACTCATTTTATTAGTCAATTTCATCGCCGAATCGAGCTTAAACTCTATTTCTTTATAGATATTGAAGTAGCTCGACAAGGCGAACATTTTATTACTTCATGCTTCGATACACACTTTTTTTTCTTCAAATTCTAACCAAACCAAATGACCAATAACTATGCGACGATCCACTGTTTCTAACTAAAACAAGTCTAAAATATGGCCGAATTCGATGTCACCTCGAACAGAAGAAACTTTGAACTTGAATTTTTGGATGCAAAAGTCGATGGCTTCATTAAAATTAAGCGCGGTCTAAGAGCAACGACGTTAAGGATCAATAAAATACGGCTCGGATTAAACAGGAATTGTAAACTCGGTAATTTATGTTCTTCGTCGTTCGAAGCGTACACAAATGGAGACGCCCCGTTCTTTTTGTCTGTTCGATAATTGCAACTACTAAGCAGTGCGATGAAAGTGAAAAGCAAAAAAAAGTAGCATTCGATTGAATACATTTTTATCGTTGAGTGGCCATGTACCGTATAAAATGTCGATTGAACGGAGTGATGAAAAGATATAGAAATCGACTTTGAAGCACATGATGAGAGAGCAACAAGTCAAACTGGATTCGCTTTCGATTCAAACCTCAATCCGCCGATGCTCTTTCCCATTCAGTACGATGCACAATCGAAACGCGTTAGCAGCTTGCATTAATCTAATCTGTGCATTTGAAACCACTGTGCGAATGTAAATTCTAAGAAAAATACGAAATTCCGGTATTGTTATGTCTCATTGAATCAAACACAATTAGTTGCAATAAATCGGGTCACGACAACGACACACAACGAAATGACGATATTAACATAGATTTCTTTCCTTGTTGTTGTTGCTGTTGCTTCGGCTACAACTGTGATTATCACAAGCAGTTCGAAGTATTTTAATTTGCATGGACAAAAACAAGATTCATCGACAGTAAATATGCGCGACGTGACGGCGATTGAAATTCCCATTCTATTTTTAATAAAATAAAGCGAAAATAATGGAAGACGCAAAAAAATTCAGCGCTACTTTCATTTATCTAATCAGCTTGACCCCCAGAATGGCTGTCATTCAATCGACTCAATGCACACATTGGCTAGCCTTGTCTTTGACGCCACATTGATTAACCAGATTTTGGTGCGAATGCTACAAACCACAAACCGATCGAAGCATTCAGTTTGTGAGCATCGATTGAGAGTGTTTCATGTGTATCGTGTGTGCTGTGTGTGGAAAATGGCTGATTTCGGTATAAACAAAATGTGAGTATTGTGAATATTATAATTGAAAATGGATTTTTTTCTCTTCAATTCATTAATAACAAAGCGTTCTTGACATTTTGGTACTTTATGAGATTTAATTAGAAAGGCTAACAAACTTTCACTGTTTCAAACTAAAAACATCATTGATTTTGTTGAAATTTCTTTCAAAAAATCAAATCTGTCCTTTGCTTGGTTGAAATTCGATGTGAACCTCAATAATGAATTCTAATTTAGGATGAAATGTTACCATATAACGCAATTTCAACCATTTCTTTTCCTATATTCCAGTGCCAGGTTGCTTGTAATTGTGGTTATTTTCCACCGAGCCGCTGCTTTCGATGTAAAATGTGACCAAACATTTCCGTCGTATTGTTTCATCGGAGCGGCTATTGACTTGCCAGCAAATGAAGAGTTGAACATCGCCCCAATGGATCATTCGCACATGGTGACGCGTTTCGAAATAGCTCCCGTTTCAAATCTGAAAAACTTTCCAACAACAATTTTCGACACATTTCCTCAGCTAGAAGCCGTTACATTGAACTCGGCAAATATTCGAACTCTCGCACCCAACACATTCGAAAAGGCGATTAATTTAAAAGATCTGCATTTGAAGCTGAACAAAATCATGAAATTGACCAAATCATTGTTTAAAAATGCGGAAAAACTGCAGACACTGGATTTGTCAGGCAATGAAATTTCGAGCATAGATGATGAATCATTCAATGGTTTACCAAATCTGCGAACCCTCAAGCTAAATGGTAACCGCCTCAAAGTTTTGAAAACGCAAACCTTTTCGGGTCTAGAAGGCCTTGAATATTTGCATTTGTATTCGAATAAACTGGATACAATTGAGCCGCAAGCATTGAACGGAATCCCCAAATTGACGGAAGTTTTCTTCGGTAACAATCACCTTCGTACGTTACCCGCTGATTTATTCAATAATACACCAAATTTGGAAGTAACCGAATTCAGTAACAATCACTTGACTCACATTGGCGATGCATTCATCAATTGCCACAAAATTTACTCGCTAAATTTGGAGAACAATCCCATTGCGGATATTGATTTGGTGAAATTTGCAAAAATGATTTCACTTTCCAGTTTATCGCTGAATAGCACGGGTTTTCAATTCCCCGACGAATTGCCGACCAAAGAAAATATCACCACCAGCTCATCGGCAGAAAGTTTAAACCTTGGGAATAATAATCTGTCAAATGCGAACATATTCAATCATTTAATCATGTTTCCGGAACTGCAACGATTATATCTCTACAACAATAAATTTACACATTTCAACGACGCAAACGACATAAAAAACGTCCTACCCAAAATAAACACAGTCGATTTAATCGGCAATAATTTTATAATCAATTGGTTACGCGATAATTACGACACATTCCGACGACTGAGCATCAATATTCTCATTCCGAGGAATAAGTGAACACGAATTAAAATATCAATCATACACAAAGTTCAAGCGAGATTTGTGCTTTTGCCCGCCCTACCCATCTCATTGCACGATGTTTACGCCTGCAATTTTGAATGTGACTTTCCTGTGTGCACCATGTACACGAGCGTCGATATATTATATATATATATATATATATGTGTGTGTGTGTCTGTGACTCATACGAACTCAGAGAATTAACTTTCCGTAATTTTGTTTTTCGAACGTGTCTAAAAAAATCGAGAAAATTCGGTGAAAACTTACCTAGAAGTGTTTTTGTTTATTTTATGAATCAGCAAACAATGTTTACAATGTGCTAGATTCTTCGAATGCATCAAAGCGTGTCCAACAAATTCAGTTTGTCGTCGTCATGAATAGGCGCAAACAATTTCAAATACGTGTTAAATGAAACACTTGGCATTTGATTTTAATGACACTCTCAATTTTGTATCGTCGCAATAACAATACTTTTGATGAAGTAGTGTGATAAAATAACGTTGCGCCTTTGAAAATGTCTGAAAACGATTTATCGTGTATCAGGAAAATTTCCAAGCAACAATTAAGCCCAGCAAAAACAACAAAAACAGCAACAACACTTCACGGTTTACAGAAAAGTGATGATACATTTTCATCGCACGTGACTTTGATTGTTATGCTGCGCTTTGATTGTTATGATTATTTTCGAATAAGCGGATTTGGTGTTCTGTTCGCAATGAACACGTACTTAGAACTTTTAATAGCCCACAGACAATGTCGATCGTATTGAATTCAGTCCAAGTTTTAACCAAGTCAAGCACAGAAATTTAAACCGGCTAAGCAACAAAGTTAACGATTTTTGCTAAGAAATTTTCAAAGTGAGAATAATTGGACACTACTTAAGGTGCTTGAATTAAAAGAAAGTTTTTTTGAAAGAAAGAAAGGAAAGACTTATTATTCGTCAACCAATCATTATCTTTACTAACCTGACATTAATCAAAGGGAAAAGTCCAAATAAACCGGAAAATAAAACCGATTTCAGGCCTAAAATAAACTTTCAAAACAAAATGTAAAAGAATACACATAAAATGTTATTGATTTATTTTCTTTTTCTTCTAAATTTTATTTATTCAAAAAATATTGATTTTATACACATATAATTTTCCCACATGCATTGAGATTATATGGTCTCTTAGCATACGTGTTAAATGAGTTGGTAATTGGATGTTGTTTATTTGCTAGCATATAATATATAATATTATAAGTGACACATTAGATAATTCCATTTGTTTTTCCCCTTTTTCATTTCGTCATGAAAAAATTACGAAAAAAAGTTACAAAAAAAATAATAAATTTAAAAAGTCAAACCGCACACCGCGTTGAATAGGCAAATTCAGGCAAAACACTTAATACATTAAATGAAAAAAAAAAACCGAAATTCAACAATAAATATGCACGCGAGCGCTCATCTCCTTTTGGGCTGACTGGTGTGTGTGTGTGTATGTTTTCTCGTTCTTATATTTGTCTCTATTTACATTTATAATCACAAAATAAATCTATAAAATAATTAAAAAATCGTTCATTGTATTTTTTGGTTTCAACTCCTCTTCTTAAGATTAAATCTCAATCTTGAATTGTTTTTATGTGTGGTTTTCTTGTTCTTCTTTTCCAGTATTATTGTCTATCAATGAGATCGAAAAGAGAGCAGGATCGTGTGAGTCACAATTTGTGACGCTGGCTCTTGGCGTGAAATAGACTTAAGAAACAAACGAATCGGAGATTGTAGATGAGCGGCCAATGCCATTTGCAATATTGTGGTCGGCGGAATCAATAGAATAACATCCAGATACTCTCCTTTCCATCTCACGAATAGCATTTTTGCGCCTGACTGGTTTAGTACACAAGCAGTCATCTCAATTGTTTGAACCAAATCAACTTCATCTAAATATAATAAAGGATATGCGTATTTTTGGGTTTATTGAACATGATATTCCATAAATATCCATTACATGATATAATAATTAGTATGCTATTCAATGTGTTTGTGAAACACATGAATCCTCTTCTCTTTGTTGTTGTATGTATCTTGTTTTGTTGGGTAAAACTACAGAGTTGCAGTGTTTTGGACCATTTATCTCAGATATTTTCCTTATGAAATGTAAATTGATTTTTTTTTCTCTTCAAAACGTTTTTGGTATCCTAAAGGGTGTTCTAGCTTCTAGTTGTTTGTGTGCCAAATATGTAATAATTGTACGGTAATGTTTCTTTTGATGTTCAAAAGCATTGACTTGGCACAAATCATTTTTTCTTCTTTGGTTAAATGCATACAGTTGAATGAATAAACAGAATTTATGGTCAGAAATAGAATGAATTTTCCATATTCCTCTCATCTCATCTGGTTTGGTTGGAAGAAATGTTCAACATTTACTTTAAGCTCATTAAGCAAATCGGTGGTTGATGACGTTATATTTGACAGGTTTATGAGAGGAGCAGCCATCCATTAGGTCAGTATTAAAAGTACAAAAATATGGCAAAATGTTGCTAATTTGGTAACAGTTATCTCATTTTCATTTTTTTTTTTTTTGGTCATATTCACGCGTGTTTCTCGCTTTTGATTGTTTCATTCCATTTTAATGGGTGGAAAAGATGAAGCTTTCCGCGATTTCATAGCATTTTTTTGTATTCTGTTTCTAAGTGATATCTCTTTTCCGCTCACTGTATCTTTTCTCTTTGGCTATAATCGTGAAGCCATACTCATGTATCAAAGAAATGTATAAACTTTGGTAGACTCTTTTTCAATAGATTTATTGCTTTGTTCGCTCTTTTCTCTCTCTCTCTCTCTCTCTCTTCCTCTTTCACTTGAACTAGAAGCACATATAAAGTACACAATATTAAATACTGTGCACAAATTATTCGTTGTCGTTTAACTCTCTTATAGATTTTCGCTCGCGCTTCGATGCTTCCAAATCGAACGGTGGTGGTTTTTCAAATGGTTGAGCTAAATGTATTTGGTTGTAGAGTGGATGAAACGGTTTTTGTTCAATCGTAAGAACGGCTTCTTCTTTTTTTTTGTCAAAATGAAATGTTTACATATTTTCGGGTCCATCACCGTATCCTTCTTCGCACGATAGAACCCATTCCCAGACACGTTTCTTGGCCGCCGTTTGATCGACTGGTGTTTCTAGTCCATAGGTCGACATCAATCGTCTTAGTCTTATTTTGCTTTCGTCAAGCGATTGACGATTCTCCCGTTGGTATTGATACTTATTGTATGCAACAATTGAATCTTGGTCGGTCGCTTGTTGGCCCAAAATGTTGCCGGTCGACTTGGAGCTGGCCAATTTCGAATCCACCCATTTGTCTTTGATGTATTTCATGACCTCGGTCACTTTCGCCCGACCATCGGGATCGTGCTCGAAGATGCGACGGAATGCGCGCAATAAACGCGGTGAAAATTTCTTAAAATTATCGGGTATTTTCGTAGTCTTTCGCTCTTGGTACTTTTTAAATGCGGCATACTGTGTGTCATTCACCCAATCGGCTTTTCGCCACGGTGGATTGCCTGTTAACAATGAATAGATCAAAATGCCAAATTGCCATGAATCGTACGATGTGCGGCAGATGAATTTCTCATTTTTTACCGCTTCCACCACTTCGGGTGGCAGGAAATTTTTCCTGTAAGAAAAAAAATGGCAAGGAATCCAAAATTTAGAAGCAGGTAAACATTGAATTAATTAATAAAATAGGATTGAATCGACAAATGGCAATAACTCTTTTTTTTAAAATTCGATTTGTGAATTTCCGTAATCATAACCAGTGCTCATTTGGTTCAATTTCAAACGAAAGTCGATAAATGCCACGCATAAAAGTAACTCGAAATTTCGATTGCTTACCATGTGTGTTTGATGCGTGTGACCAAAATGCCGGATCTTGTGGTTGCACCAAAATCGCATAGTTTGATGCGTGAAAAATCAAGTGTGAAAACTAAAACGTTTTCTAATTTCAAGTCGCGATGCACCAAATTTTTCGAATGCATAAAACCGAGCGCCGAGCTCAGTTGCGTGGCAATGATTTTGACCGCTGATTCGTTCAACCCGCCTGGTCCTAAATTACTGGCCAAATCGCCTAAATACACAAAGAGGGAGAGAAAGGGAAATGCATTATTACTTCGGTTTCTTCTATTTCATTCGCTATTTTCGTTATACGCTTTTGAAATGAACGTATTTTATTTTTTTGGCAAATGGCAATGGCAATGAATCAACTACACTCACCATATGGTGAAAATTCTTGTGCAAACACATAATAATCGCTCGCTTGAAATGCCACCTGATAGGCGCTTAAGATATTTGGATGATGGCTCAATTGATAGCTGTAATGATATTCCTTGATGAATTCCTTAAGTGAGGTGAGTTCGACGTGAACGGCTTTTAGCACGACCTGTGTATTGGTCGGCCGATGATTGACCAATAAAATGCGTGCAAAACAACCTTCGGCTATCATACGCTCCACATTATATTCACTTTCAATTTCCATGATTGGCAAATCCAAATCGGGTATGCGATGCAGAACGCTGCCTTCATTTGCGCCCGGTTTCACACTGTTTCGATGAACGGTGAGATTTGGTGTATCCGATTTACTTTCCGAGAGCTTCATATTTCTGAATTGACGTTTACTTTCTGGTGTTGATTTTAAACCCAAAAATAGAAAAGAAAAACCGAAATGCAAACAAAATCCGATTAACATAAATACAAACACAATTTTTTGAATTTAAATTCTATAAAAGATTAAGGATTCGAAAATGAGAGAGAGAGAGAGAGCAGAAAAAGAAAAACATAAACTCATGGGTGTTGTCCATTGGCTTTGATATTGCTCGAGGAATATAGAGAAAAAAAAGAATCAAAATCGCAGCTTTGCCTTTTCAATTCGCATAGACAATCAAGAGTAAATATTTATATTCGCAAAGCTTCTTTTCATCGAATTGCGGTGTCGATGCGATGCGATGGAAATTCAAACTTCAATCGCGCTCTCGTTCGCTGATTTTGATTGACTCCTTGGCGTGGGCCGTACGTGGTGACTTTATTTTTTGCTTGAATTTCGAAACTTCGCTATCGGACAGAAGGCGAAAAAAAGCGTTTTTTGCTTTCTCAACAGGCTTAATTCACATTTAGCTCGGGCCCGTGTACATTTGCCACGCTCCGCGTGCGTCACTGTACTTTTTGAACGAATGCACGTCAATTTGCACGTTTATCGGGAATCGAAAAGAAAACTTACATCAGGGAGGAACAAAAAAAAATTTATAGCGAAATCAATAAAACTGTATATTGAAATTCATTCTCGAAGCTGAACGACACGTGCTCCGAATGTTTTCTCTCGATATTTTGAGGTAGTTTAAATTTAAAGAATGGTTTACAACTTTAAAAATTTATTCGAATGCTCGCAAAATGAAGGAAAACAGTATGGGATAACTCGAGGGAAAAAATCGAGCACATACATTTTTTCCTTGTAAAATAAAACAGTTTTTCTCCAAATTACCGAAACTCTCGAACAGATAATCCGCTTGTAGCAATGGCTGCTCACCAATTTGCTGACTTAATGGCTCAAACATGTTCAATTGTTTTCACACTTTCACAGCGAAATTGCACTCTAGCGCGATTTTATCTCGACAAAAACACAATCACACTCTTTTTTTGTTTCGACGACGTGATGAAGTGTTGAATGCGCACAAAACGCTGTTTTTCAGATAATTTGCGATGAGGAAGTGATTTCGGGTAGAGAGATGATTACAAGAACAGAACGAAAAAAAAGAAGAATTGCTTTTTAATCGCCGTACTGTGCTTTACTTAATAATTTTTTTCGTGCTGCTTGCACAACAGATGCAACAGTTGCTTGTGATATGTTTTGCTGAAATGAGCGAGAGAGAGTCTCATTCTCATTTCAATGGTTCATTCTCGGTGTGTGTATACGATTTGGCTATAGCATTTCATCCACAATTTTAAATAGACACTTTTCATTTCGTTTCGTTTCAATTTTGCGGCAAGTGCAGAGAAAAAAAGACGGCAACAGCAGGAGTTGCAGAAGGGAAGACAACAGCGGCGGCGGCATAAAAGAGCATTTACGTCAGCAGTGTGCCGGTTTAAAGTGCATAACAACAACAAAAAAATAGGTAGTCGAGTGAAGCAAAAAATCCGATTCAGATATAAATATCGGCGTAAAATTCAACGGCAAGAGAGGCAGCAGAAGAAAAAAAAGTGAATCAAGCCGCCGGCAAGAATCAAGAGTGCAATTGAAGTTAAAAAAAAGCATTCAAGTGGCGTATATTCGTAATATGCCACTCATAATATAAAATATTTCTTCTTCATCGTGTTTGTCGTTGAAAATGAAAGCGAAATGTTCAAAGCGTGTTATTGATGCTGCTGTCCATCGCAATGGCCTAACGTACAGGAGACAAGTTTTATTGGTTTTGATTTTTATTTGTCATTTGGCGAAATGAGCAAGTGTACTAGAAAACTATCGAAAAAAAAGAAGAACGAACAAGTCGTTTGACACTAGAGAAGTCTTTTAGCAACAGCTACAGCAGTCTCTTCGATTGCCTCTGGGCGGAATGAATTTATGATTGGCAATAATGTTGCCGCAATATACAATCGATGCATAAAAATGTGACTTTAAGTGCTCGAATTTATGTGCATTTTATTGAAATCGAGAGTGTTCATCGTTTGTTTGCCAACGAGAAAGGAATAGAATTGTTCAAGCCAAAAATATCGCAGCTATTTCTAAGAATAAGTTATATTCTGATTCAACCATATTATGCATTGATTTATTTATACGCGCCAACAGTGCTGTGCAGCAAAACATCAACGCATAATTCACCGATTTTATGGAAGTCAAATCACAATTGGCAATCGTCTGTATGTTTCTCTCGATTTGTTTCTTTTATTTTCTCGCCAGTTAATCAGAATTGATGCTGATGATAAACACTTCAAAGCATTGACGTCATTCGCATTCTAAATTTAAACAATACAATGATTTGATCCCTTTTTTTCCTTACATCGAAATGCGTTCAATCAAGCTCTCGCATTGTGCATTGTTAGTTTTTCTCTCTACAGTTTCTTTTCCGGTTGCCAATTGTTTTGAATGCGTTTCGCGCACACGCTCGTGCTCACGTTTGCTCGTTTTAATTTAACGTGTACTTGCTCGCTCGCTTGGTTCGAGTATTTGAGCTTTTTAACTCCAAGCGACCAACAATGAAACCAAGCACTGAATTGTATCACATCGACCCGATGATGCGATAAATAGATTTGGGCGAATACAAATCGGTCGACGTGCCAAACTTCTCGCTCCCTCGCTCGTGTGTACACATGCAGAAAAAAAAAACAATGAACGCATTGAATTCATTCAACACCCACAGCGACTGAACTGAAAACCGATAACAACAATCTTAGCGGGATGACTCAATTTGTGCAACGCGTGTTTGCCAATAAATACGTACCGAATAATGCACAACGACCGCGCGTACACGAGCTTAGCCAAGCCACACAATTATTTTCGATTAGAGATATTGACTCGAATGAGTGCGAGACGGGAATGGAAAACCACCGCATGGTTTAATTAATAATGCCATTTGTTTTCATTGAGAAGATATTGACACTTGCAAAAAGTTCGCTATTTTTAGCCAATTTCATTCAATTGAGAGAGTGAAAGCATCTTAAACATCGATCCACAGCATGAACCGAATACATACATATTCTTGGCCGGTTTATGGGGGAAAATTTCCATTGGCTCCGTTTAGCAAATGACAATTTTATAAGTCTGCCGATTTCGTCCTATCTCTCGCTTACACGCTTGTTCGCTTGAATTATACATGCCTTCACTTTATTTTAATTACCACGGTTTAAGGCACTTGTACTTTCTACACACAACATGAATGTTGCCGCATGTCGGATAAATAAAAGGATATAAATAAATAACGTGTGGAACGGAAAATGACACGAGACATCTTCCTTTCTAACTGAAGACCATAGATTTGCCAATGTATCTTTGGACGAAGCTTTTGAGCCGATTGTCTGAATTATTTATTACGGTCGATCACGGTTCTCGGATGATTCTCTCATATTTTTGGACTGTCGATATGGAAATTTATCAAGTAAATGCTGTTGCGCTTCAGCCGCAAATCATTCAGTTCAATTTACAATAAAATTTTCAAGCAACAGCAACCATTTATTTACTTTTTTTTTATTTGCATTTGCTTTTGCTGTGGGCATATAATATGAGTGCGTTTTTTTCTTTTGTTCACATTGTTTGACCTTTTTTCTTCTATTTTTTAATGTATCTTGTTTTTTCCTTCTTTTTTCTTTTTTCTTCTCTCTTTTTTGCTCATTTTTGATTTGCCATTTTCCCTCTGCACCTCACTGTGTTTGTTTCGAACTCATTTCACATTGTTTGACATGCCATTCTTCCATGTCCCATAAACCCACCAGCCGATTGATATCAACCGGTCAATTTGGTTGCTTGGTTTCCTTTGACAATTGTAAAATCAATCATGCGTGTTTTCGAATCATTGCAAATTGCAATTGATTGGAAGCCATTTGATGGATATTGGCCATTCTATGCAAAAAGGCATTTCGTTGTTTTTCCAATTGAATCGACGCAGAAAGGTTTTCATTTACAATTCAAAATGGAAATTGTATCATGACATATGGGAATAAATCAAACGGAACAACGACTGGCTAGCGGCTGGTGTCTCGCCGCAACTCGAGACATGCTTTGTTAGCAATGGCTTGTTTTTTTTTCTTTCTAAATCGCCTGACATTCAAAAGTTTTGCAATTTGATGATGACAAAAGATGAGAAATGTTGGCGGAAAATGAGAAATGTTAAATGGATTTTCATCTAAATAACAAATTTTTCGGCGTTGAAATTTGACGTAGTCAACAAATCATATTATATGATATGAAGAAGAAAAATCATTTGGGATTTGTTGTTTATTCTACTCGATAAACACCACCGACATTGAAAAAAATAGTTGCAATGAATCAGTGTTATTCTCGAAGTTAGTCCAATATTTCGGTCATCGGTCTCGCTCAAGACTGTGAGAATGAAAAACTGACACTCAAAGGATTGCAGCGTCGATATTTTTGGCCAAAGAAAACAATAAAACGCTCAACATGTAAATTATTCATTGATGAAATGTTATAAAAATAGGCTCCAATTCGAACAAAAAAAAATGTATATTGTTTGTTTGTGCGCGCGACACCCGAATGCTTTTTGCGGATCGGCAAACAGACGCACGGTGCGCCTTTCTCTCTGTTTACGAAAAGCGAACGCTTTGTTCAAACCAATGAAAATTTGGAGCTGTCGCACGCATCGAGTTGCAAACACAGTGAGCCAGTGCACATGACACGGTACCGATTTTTGTGTGTTTGATCAAAGGCTTTTTAATTGTTGCCTGTCGTACAAATCAATTCATAGAGTGCTGATTTTCTTTTATTTCTCTCTCATTCCCTATTTATAGATTCGCATTATAAACTAAATTGAGAACATTTTGGCCTATTTTTAGATATAAATTATCGATCTTTCTTTTCACTTCGTATTCATTGCAATGGGTACGACTGAGCGCTTTGGTCCCTCGCACTTTGTTTTGGTCGACCGTTTTTTTGTTTATGTAAGGTAAATTGAGATACT